TTATTATTTTTTAAACATAAAAGGGTAAAGAGTTTTGCTTTCATCTCGAATGGAGCCAAAATAGAGATTTAAAGACGTCTTTATTGGTTGCATTATGGAACATTTAAGAATACATTTTTGTATTCACTAGTTAGAAAAATTGTTTATACCCTCCACCAGAAGACGGCAACATCTCGAAATATTCACGGTAAATCCTTGATCGGAAAAAAATTCTATATCCATTTAGCAATAAGTTCGTTCGTTTACTTCCCCAGTAACATTTACTCAGTAAGAATTTGCAGAGAGTAAAATGCGATTTTTTCGTCAATCGGCCAATCCACGGGTATAAAAAGTTCTTCCCGACTAAACATGACAATATTTGTACTTCTTGTCTAGTAACTTAGGCGTGTAACTAGATAATTCGTTCTAATAATCTATAACAATCGAATCATTAGCGAGTGTATCCATAAGTCCCGAAAAATGTTCTCATCTCTATTTCATATAGCTTATAGCTACCAATTTTGCCGGTCCTATGATCGATGTTATAAATGATTTGGAATGTATATATTTTTATTCTCAGAACAAAACAGCCCTTCAGTATTTATTTAATTTCTTCCTCTGTTTAGGTTTCGGACAAGATCACTTTTTTGGTGGATTGTCAGGAATCATTTATCAATTTAACTGGAACGACTGACGCCAAAGGTTTTCGGTGTTTAATGTCATGGCTCAGAGAATTCCCTCACTTTTTGGAAGAGAGTATCTGTTAACAATCGCTCTTGCATAGATTCCAAATATATTCTATATACATTACATAATTGTTTCCTACTACTTCGTGTTCATTATCGCCATTGAACGTCGTTGTCGTCTATTTGTTCGGTTATAATTGGTATCTTATCATTTAACACTTGTTCTATGTAAATAATTACGGACCAAAATACTCTCTCACCTCCCAGCTAGCGCCAACAATGTTGCTGGTGATGATGGCGATGACGATGACGACAACATTCCATCACATTATCCAGTAATGACAAACATAGACAAACAACATCTATCCCTAACTTCAAAATGAGGGGGGTCTTCTTCGTTTTTTTTTTAAATGCAATGAAGAGGAACCAAGAAAAAACCAGTTTGAATACCAAGTGCCAGCACCTTGTGGTACTCACACCCAACCAGGCAGCCAACCACCCAGCCAGTAACATTGTATGAATGAATAACACTCCCACTGAATTACTGCTGCTGCTACTGCTTCTTCTTCTTATTATTATTCGTCATGTTGATGGAATACCAGCTGCTATTATTAAAAGCCATACAAAAGAAAAGTCCTTAGCGATGGCACGTTATGAAATTGCTTGCCAAATCATTTGTAATGCGGGGGTAGGGTAGGGTGGCGCTGATAGGATAACCTTATGTACCCCGAAGACAATCCAAACAACCTGGCCTGGTCCCTGTTAAACTAACAACGAATATATATTAACAGTGAATGGTAACGACAGCACAGCACACAGCCCGGTACATTGCTGGGTATATACTGTCCTGAACAACAGGAGCACTTGAACAATGCAAGGATCTGGTGAATGCAACAAATTGCATGAATGCCTACACAAAATGTTGAAGCAACAAAAAAACATAATGTAAATAATGTATTTTGAATGAGATACTTGACAACGGAATCAGATGCAACAACAACAACAACCACCAGGCCCACCCTTAGCATCAATGTGACTTCCCTGAGTTGCTAAGTTAGTCGTCCAGTTTTTGCATAGGTCAAGGAATGTAAGGTGCCAGCCAGCATGGTATATGCTCCCAAATTTGATATGCTTCATATTTTCCAGTAATTTATACACACATACATACATAGCTACATATATACTTCCACAACAGCAGGTAAGGTCCTTATTGTGGTGATGATGATTATGACGATCATCATCATCGTCATCTGCATGCCATCTTGTCATCTTATTAAACTGAAATACTAATTAACTGTAAAACAATCAAGCACTGCAGGATATATGGATGGATGGATGACTCGTTGTCATGTTGCTGGCGATGATGATGATGACATATCTACCAATTCCTTGCCAAGTAAACATAACCAAACACATGACAGTTATTACTACAACTTTTTTCCCATTATAAAATGCATTTCGAAATTAATTCACGCGAAAGCATCAGCACCATCACGCCAAGAATTCCCGATTCGAGAATAACGCATAATCTCCTCAACCTCAAACATTCGCATTCACTTACATTGTTCGTTCATTCACTTCCGTAGTCATCGTCAAAATTTGCCCAAGGAATTGCAATTACAAGTTCATTTTTTATATTATTTGCCAACACGTTCCATGAAATAATAATTGGCATACTTGACAGCCAGTCATCATCATCATAAGCCAACAAACAACAGAAGCTATCCACTTGAAAAATATGAAATTATGAATTTTTGAGAGGGACTGTTTTTGTGCGTTTCTTCCAAAAAAGGGGGAATGGAGGTTGAGTTATTATACACCTTATACACAAACATACATAATAAAATAAATAAAACCAAAAAAAAATTATTTAGTTCATATTTTAAAAAAATATTTTATTACTCTATAACCTTATTAAAGATTTAGCGTATCCACCCATACTCCCTATACAGAGTTATTTATTTAATAGCTACATTTATTTCCTTGGTAATAAAATGCCATCTCAAAAAACCTCCCACCTGCACTATTACTACCAAAAACCAAACATGACCATATGTTATTGTTGCTAACAAGAAATGCAAACAAGCCGATTTGGAAAAATTTTTACAAATTTTGAATTTAAGCCATTTACAGTGGCAATAAAACTTTTCATGGACATCAATTAGAAGCAAAAAAAAGAAAGAGAATCTCATATTCAGAAAGGCCATTTAGAAATGATTGTTTCCAACAAAATTTGAATCCACATATATATCTACACATGTACCAACATGTTATATACGTATGTTTGTACAAAGTAAATGGCAAACACAATATCAAATCGCCAATATGCATTGCATCCATTCCATCCATCCATCCAGCAAAGTGCATTCATTCATCTCTGTGATGGGATGAACACAATCGATGACATCAGGTGAAAATATGAGCCATGGGGCGGAAATAGTTTAGTTTTTCACATTTCTCACAAACCATTTTGTTGGCCTTTGCTTAGACTAACAGCAGCCGTCATCGCCGCTTCTGATGACTATTGACAAAACCTCCATAGGCATGGCTGGTGAAGTCGCAAATGAAACGTTTTTGGTATGATGCACCAAAATAACAATTCATGGGCTAATACATGATGGCTATGGGTAGTAGGATATACATACATATGTATGTATAAATGAGGACCACCTACATACTAACATTTTATATATGAAATATTTGTTAATAGACGACAGACGTTCCGACTATTGTTTGAGGGGGATTTTGATGAAAAATAACATTTGAAGCGTGAATAGCAGATTAAGCAAACAATTTCACGTCAATATGTTCAATGCAATCCAATGCACACACATGCATCTCTATATACATATGTATATATTCCAAATTTGGCAAATAAAAAAATCATTATTATAAAATGCTTTGAATTAGAAAATGAAATCGATTTCTTTTAGATGAGGACACTAAAGTGAACTGTGGCCAGGGTCTTCATAGATCTACTCTTAGAATACTAAAGCTTTTCTCTTTAAAGTCAAAAATATCTCCACAGTGAAGTCTTCTCATTGAGGACCAATAGATTTTCTAGTCAAATACTTAAAGGCCTTCTTATGGAAAACGAATTCGAGGAAAAAGTACAAAATATTCACCTAGAAGTTCAAAATATCTTCTTATATGAGCAACATGAATTTTCACATAGAAAACCTAATATTTTTTTCAAAGAAGATTAAAATGTCTTCTCAAAGCCACCAAGAAGGGGTCCTCATATAAGGCCAGAAGGTCTACCATTAGTAGGCACCAGGTCGTCTTCTCATGGAATACAAATAGGCTTCTCGGAAATGTCAAATGGTCATCTCATAGAAGACCGTAAAAATTTTTCAGACTTGACCAAGGGGTCTACAAATAAGTCTCTTCAAAGACCAATAAGTCTTCTCGAATAAGACGATATAAACTTATTTTAGATGACAAATTGTCCTTTCATAGAAATCCAAAAATTACCTCTCACATAAGAACCTAAGGCTATCTCATTGAAACACAAATGTAATTCTTATAGAAGCCCAAGACGTTCTTCCCATAGAAGACCAGAAGGACTTCTCATGAACGACAAAAGAAGACTAAGAGGTCTGCTTAAAAATATTGTTATAGAAGACCAATAGTCTTCCGAAAAACGTCCAAATTTAATTCTAATAGGTAACCAACAAGTCTTCGCATAGAATACCAAAAGGTTTTTACAAAGAATACCCAAAGTTCCTCTATTATTGAATCCCAAAAAGAAACCTTCTCAATAGAATACGAAAAAAGATCTTCTCATAGCAGGCATATATATAAGAACGAATGCTTCTTCATAGAAAAAAAGGTCTTCTCACAGAAGATCAGGTGGTTTTATCATCATAAATATACATATGAAAAAAAGTCTTCTCAAAAAAAAAAACAACATGTGTTGACAGCAGTCACACAATTCTACGTAACACTTTAAGTCACCACTACATCACACAGTTCCTTACTGTGAACAGTTCAATTGAACCAGGCTTGTTTACTTGTTTTCTGCAGTGGGTTAGTAGTTATTAATAAATATTTTATTTATACCATTATTTAAACAATAAATATATAATTATTATTTTTTGTTTAAAATTATTAATAAATACAATTTATTTCCATTATTCATTAGTTTATCCATAAGAAAAATAATATTTTCTAACAATTCATTAACCCCCACTAATTCAATTATAGCTGCTGACACAAAATTCCCAATATAGCTGAGCTCAGATGATGATGACCCTTTAAAGTGCAGCAGAAACTGTAAGGAAAAGGAGGAAGCGACGTTGGGAGAAACAAAAAATAATGTAAAGCATTATTCTTACAAATGGCCTAAATATTCACACCAGCTGCAAAATCTATTTTCTTTTAATTTATTTTGCTTAACAAAATGCCTATTCGTTATGTGTACAGGTAAGAAATATCGATGAATGAATTGAATGGGGCATCCAATTAATTACTTTCCTCTTTACGTTTGTTTTTGTAGATGGATTACAAGGACTTTTCTGCTTCTTACGCTATTGTTATGTTGCTACAATGAAATACTTGTCTATCATTTTAATCGATCCTCTTGGCAGGAAATCAATTGTCGTTTCGGTAAGTTGGTCAAGTGACCACAAGGAAATGACATTTTGTTTGATTCACTGTGTGTGTGTTTTTTTCCTGTTTTGTAGAAAACTGCACGAGAATGTTGCTGATTGCTGACCCCCAACTTTTAGGTTTAACATATGAAAAGACAATACTTAGCGGCCTGGCACGCTATGATTCTGATAGGTATGGAACTGCTATTAAATTTTGTGAATATAAACATAATAATATTATTATATTTTAGGTATTTAAAAAGTACCTTCCAACAAGCTCTTAAGTTTACCCAGCCTCACATTATTTGTTTCCTTGGTGACTTACTAGATGAGGGAAATGTGGCCTCACCACAAGAATTTCAAAGTTATATTCAACGTTTTCGCAATATTTATCATACCGAAGATGATATAAAAGTGGGTATTATTAGTATTTTTGGAATATTTGCTATTATTGCAACGTATATTTATTTAAGTTTCAAATGATTTCTGCCTTTCACCAGGTTGTCCATGTACCCGGCGATAATGATATTGGCGGCGAAAATGGTGAATACATATCGAATTTAAATATACACCGCTTTGAAGAGGCTTTTACCCAACGTGATATTTTTGATTATGAATCGAATTTACGTTTTTTCAAAATCAATCGTATGATGTTGGATTTTACCAATCCCGATAAAATGCATAATCATGAAAAGTTACGCATTGGCCTGTCGCATGCTCCCATACTCATTGGTGGTGGACCATTGCTGCGTTCTGTGATCAATGAATTGGATCCACATATTATATTTTCTGGCCATTGGCATGAATCTCGTATATTTTTATATCCCTCCACTAAAGTGATCAATTTTTATGATAAAGCAGCCGTGAAAAGTTTCAATTTGAAAGACCTTAAAGAAAAAAAACACAATTATTTGGAAATAATGGTGCCTACATCTTCCTATCGAATGGGAAAAGTTAATATTGGTATTGGTTATGCGGTTTTGGGTATGTGAAGAAGTCTTTTTTATATATAAAATGTATGTTTGATTGTTTGTGTTTTTTTTAGATAACTATGATCTCCGTTATACTGTCCTTTGGTTGCCAAATCGTTTTGTGTACTTACTTATTTATGTGTTTTGGCTATTATTTGCAATATGCATGTCTCTGGTATTTCGTATGATGACCCGTTGCCCATTTCGTAAGATCTCTAAGTTCAATAATCAATCTCAGTACCAACGCATTTCCGATGCAATACCTGATTAAAACAAAAAACTCCAATATTTAGTATGTAAATCCAAAATTATATTACTTGAACTAACTATATATTATATATTAATATTATTAAGTTATTTATTTTAAATTATTAACAACAATAAAAATAAGTAATAAAGTCGAGTCGGGATATGTTTTGTATATAATAACATATCTATATTTATATACAAATATAATAAAAATAATTTTGCTTTGTATTTTATTTTAATAATAGGAAATATCCGAATTATTAGAAACTTTTAAAAAACAATTTGAAAACACAACAACGGGTATCAAATTTAAATAATCATATGGTGAGCATAAGTGAAAAGTTAAAAAAAAATGTCACCCAAGGCGTATTAATGTCATCCAAAGAGACTAGTTAGATATCAGCTGCTTCTCTCTCGAGTTTGATGTCAAATCCCTTATCATGAATTGACTTGCATTATGTAAACAAAGTCCAAATTTTTGACATTAAACTTGAGAAATAACCATTATCGTGTAAACATTCTTTAACTACCGTTAATCTCTTTCAATTCAACTTAAAAATGTTCTTATACATCTTCTTCCAATAATTTTTCCCCCATGTAAACATTGTTTTATTTACGTCAAAGCCATTCATCTGACATCTGCCAAAAGAAACCATATTTTGACAGCTGTTGTGTTTATTCTCATACATTACGCCACACATACGTCGTGCGCTTTAGTTTAGACGTCTGTCGTTGACTTAAGATGGCGTTAATTTCTGATAAGTGCTAACAAAAATAAAATAACTCGGGGAAAAGTAAAAAATAAATAAATAAAACATTTTTAATAGAATCCAAATAAATTTTTTTCTTTAAATTCATAAAAACTCAATGCGTATTGTGTCCGTAAAGAAGTGCTACACAGATTGCAAGCGGCTAAAAGGCAAATAAAAGAAGCGCAGTCCACGAAGTAATAACAAAAAAAAATGCGAGAAAAATAATGGTTTAGCGAAAATACACACAGAAAAAAAGATACGATTAACAGAGATGTCAACTATTGCAAAATGGGACGTGATTAGTGCTGTGGATATTTTATAAAAAAAAAGAATTCTAGTTTTAATGCAAAATTCCTTTGGTTGGACAATAGAAAAATAGAAATTCTGAAAGTTATTAAAAAGCAGTGCCCCCTTAAAACGCACACACAAACACACAGCCAAAGGCGGACACACGCAACAACACACACACCTATACAAACAATACCCAAAGCTTGTGTTTGCCTGTACCGATAATTAAGCAGCAGCAAGCAGTTGGAAATAACTTCCTTTGCTGCTGCCGCTGTTGCTGTTTATCTATTGGGGAGTGTGTCGGAACGACGGAATTCTTTACAATAAATATTTATTTTATAGATTCTTTGACATTCTTTTTGAAGGTACACCCCATAAACCAATAAATCTGAGTGGAATACGTTTTTGGGGTCGTCGAACATTATGACGGATATTGTGTATCCAGCGGGATGTAGACCGCTGTCCGAAGATCTGGGCACAGATGAACTGATACGAAGATTAAAGGTAAAAAGCATTCAAAATCCAATCCTTTTTAACTAATTCCCTCTATTTGTCGATCGCTTTTTTTAGACACTGGCAAATGTCTTGCAGGCCATGGGCCAGGATGATGGTGTTTATCAACAGTATATACCACTATCACTGCAACTGGCCGATGACCATTTCTTGCAACATCCTTCGCGGGATGTCCAACTGTTGGTGGCCTGTTGTATTGCCGATGTATTGCGTGTCTATGCTCCCGAAGCACCCTACAAGGATCAGGACCAAGTCAAAGTTATTTTCCTTTTCTTTATTAAACAATTGTATGGTCTCAAGGACCCTAAAGATCCCTCGTTCAAACGTTATTTCTATTTGTTGGAAAATCTGGCTTATGTCAAGTCGTTTAATATGTGCTTCGAACTGGAAGATTGTGCAGAGATTTTTTGCCAACTATTTGGCATGATGTTTAAAATAGTCAAGTGAGTTATTTTCAAGCGCCTTAGCTAATTGATGCAGCCATGATTCGTGTTTGTTTTCAATTCCAGTGAGGAGCATAGCACCAAAGTGAAGAATTTCATGATCGACATAATGAGTCCTCTCATAAGTGAGGCAGACAACTTTACCACAGATATATTGGATTTAATCTTAATAAATATTGTGGAGCCCCGAAAATCACAAAACAAATACGCTTATCAATTGGCCGAGCAATTGATTATCAAGACAGCCGATTCATTAGAAACTATAATCAAAATGGTAATGCCACAATCCGCTCCATTGTTCGTTGTCATCTTAATGTACGTTTTTTTACCTTTGCAGTTTTTCAATCAGGTTCTGGTTTTAGATAAAATCGACAAAAACTATGAAATTTGCACTAAAGTTTATGATCTTATCTATGAGCTACATCTAATATGTCCCAATATTTTGTGTTCGGTATTGCCACAATTGGAATGTAAATTGAAATCATCAAATGAACAGGAACGGCTGAGTAAGTTGAAACATAAAATAAATCTATTTAGATTTACTAATTGGTTTCTCCCCTTGCAGAAGCTGTGGCTCTTTTAGCTCGGATGTTCTCCGAAAAAGATTCACAAATCTCGAAAAAACATCCAAACCTATTGCGTATGTTCTTCGGCCGCTTCTGTGACATATCATATTCGATACGCGTCAAGTGTGTCCAATCCTCAATGCACTTTCTGCTCAATCAAGCCCACCTACGAGAAGAAGTCATACAGTGTTTACGTGCCCGACAACATGACTCCGATGAAAATGTTCGTTACGAAGTGGTCATGGCTATTGTAGAGACGGCCAAACGGGAATTTTCCATAGTATGCGAATCGGAAGAGCTACTGGACATTGTACGCGAACGTACCTTAGATAAAAAATTCAAAATACGTAAAGAGGCTATGTTGGGTTTGGCCTTTGTCTACCGCAAAGCGATATGCGAACCAAATGATCTATCCTCGGAGGTTAAGAAAAATGTGGAATGGATAAAGAATAAAATCATGCATGGCTATTATATGCCAACGCTGGAAGATCGCCTGCAGGTTGAACGTTTGTTAATTACATCCCTAGTGCCCTATAAAATGGCTCCGCTGGAGCGTATGAAACAATTATATCATCTGATGGGCACATTCGACGACAATGCCACAAAGGCATTCATTGAATTGCAAAAGAATCAAATGAAGACGCGCAAAACGGTGTTGGAGTGGGTGAAATTGCACAAAACTAAAGACATGACACCCTCAATGCAAAGCCAGCTGAATATAAAACAGGCCATCATTTGTAAACTCTTGGCTGATCCTTTAAAGGCTTCGGAATTTATTGGCAAGTTCAGTACGAATATGAGAAAAGATCCAACGCTGCTGCGTTACATGGAAATCATATTGAAGCGGGATGTTTCCTGCAAGGAGTGTGCGGACACCATGTCATTGCTGTTGAAAAAATTGGGTACACCCATTATGACAAATCTCTATTATCAGACTGTTAAAATGTTAATAGAACGAATAGCATCGGTAATGATTGACAAGGAATCTTTGGGAATTTTAATTGGGTAAGCATTGAAAGACGACAGGATATTTATGATTAAGATTAATGTTGGTATTTTTGTTATTTACAGATTAATTGAGGATTGTATGCGTGGTGGTGAAACCTGCAAGGAAATTGGCTTACCGGTAAATGAGGCTGGTGAGCAAGGCCTTAAATTGTTGACTGTAAGTATTCTGTGCCTTGTTATTGGATATATGGTATTAACGTTCTCCCTCCCTCTTTCCCCTAGGCTTTATCGTATTTATTTTCTCCACACTTTTTCACCGACAAATCCCTACGTCATTTGATCTCATTACTGAGTTATGACAACGACTACTCGGCGCCTTTAATATTGAAATCTCTTACACATCTCGGCCGCTATAAACCACTAATTTCCGTGGATGCTGCCATTTTGGAGGAATTGGCACCCGTCTGCAAAGACTTTGCTGTGGAGGGAACACCAAAACAGGCCAAACATGCGGTACGTTGCATTTTTGTTAATACCCAGGCCCAGTTGAATGGTGGCACCGAACATTTGGACACACCAAAGACTGTACATCCCATATTCCACGAGATAATGGATAATTTGCGACTCACCCTCAAACCCAATTGTCCACAACAACGGACAAAAGTGGTCACCATGGGCCACATAGCCTACAATATGCCCCGAGCATTTGCCGAGAAAATAAAGAACATGATTGCCCGGCGCATTGTTAAGGAGTTGTTAATACAACCAGTACCTGAAGATAGGATTTGTAAACGCATCGAAGGAGATTGGTGTGATCAGGAGGAATTGCCCACAGACACGTTGTGTAAACTGGAGGGCCTGAAAACAATGGCCCGTTGGCTGTTGGGCTTGCGTGACGACGAAGCCTCGGCCAAGAAAACATTTCGTATGCTGATAGCTTTTATTCACCATGGCGGTGATTTGTTGGATCACAAGCGTATGTTTGCCGCCGAATCGTCATGGTTTAGGGCAGCCGCTGCCTGTGCGATGTTGAAAATATGCGAACAAAAGGGTGTTGGTGATCAGTATACCGCCGAGCAGTATTACAGTTTGGCACAGCTAATGGTGAATATGACGACGCGTCTTTGTGTGTGGTGAAAACGAAAATGTTTTGTTTTAAAATTTGTTTCTCTTCTCTCTCTGTGTTTTTTTGAAGTGCGATCCTGTGCCCCAAGTCAGAGAAATGTTTGCCCGCAAATTACACAAAGGTCTGAACAAGGGTTTGCCCAGCAATTGTTTGCCATTGGATTTTATGGGTTTCTATGCATTGTCGGGTCATGAGACAGACAAAAAGTAAGTTAATGGGGGGGAGTGTGGTTGAATGTCTTATAACTTACTCGAAATCTTCTTATTGAACAACAAAAAAGTGGATTTTTTTTTATTTTAACAGAAGATTACAGTTTTGAAATTGCTTTATAATATTTTTCAGATTATTTGAACTGAAACGTCAATTTTTGGAAGCTGATGTCAACAAAAGAAGAGAATATCTCAAAACAATACAAGCAACAAGTAAGTTGTCCACAATACCCAAATGGTTAGATATGGTTTATTTAAATGTTTTTCTTGGTTTTTCAGATCACGATGCAACAGAGGAACAACGTTTGCACATATTACCTGATTTTATATTGGCTTTTGCCCTACCCATACTTGTACACGATCCACATTTTACCAATTATGAGGATCGCGGCCAATTGAAACAAGTGGAAAAATGTTTGCGTTTCATTTTGGAACCCCTAATGGCCAAGTCGGAAACATTCTCATACAGTTTCTACAAGAATCTTATTGAAATGATGAAAAATCATTATGTTGTCACACCGAATGCTGAAAATCAGGCTTATAATTTGGTAGGTCCCCGATCATCGGAAACAAACAAATTATATTTTATTAATTTATAAACTTTTGTGTTGTTGTAGAAATTGTGGGCCTGTTGCGATCTCGCCAACTATATTATCTGTTCCAAAATGGGACAGTGTGATTTAACGCCAAACAAAACATTCAATGTACCGATTACATTACCACCTCTATATTTCCAAGAGCCTCCACCGGATGCTGCTGGATTTCCAAATACTAAAATATATATACCTTTTGATACATATTCAATAATAACGACCTTAGGGACACATAAGAAAGTAACAACAAATGCCTTGAAACCCACCACCAGTGGTGGTCAGTCATCAATAATAAAAAGTGCAGAAAAACGTCCAGCCTCAGATCATCTATCATCAATAGATCAAAATTCTCTGGTAAGTTGTAACTATTACTTCAAATTAATTTTTGATTGATTGCATTTGTTTTGCAGGAAAATGCCTCATTATTTGAGGCCATGACGGATGATACATCCGACCAACCAGTTACCAAAAAGGTACGAGGTGTTATGCGTACCGGAAAAACGTAAACCCGTTTTTCCCCTCCATATAACATTCTAAGCTAGCACTTAAGATTCTTGGTAGATCCAGTTTTTTATAGCGCCGTCGTTTAGAACAGAACAAATATTTTTTGTAAAGAACATTTGTTTAGTTTTCTTCATTGTCGTCGTCATATTTTACACAAAGTGTTGTCGTCGTCGTAACCGAAATCATTGGTTGGATGGATGAATGATTGAATCGAAGAAAGGAAGGAAGATAATTAAGAATAATAATTATAATAATGATGCCTTTATCCGTGGTCTAATATAATTTACAGAAACAACAAAACAAAACTTATCTTTACACAACTGCGGTATTTTTTATTTTGTGTTTGTCTATGAGGAAGCAAACTCTGTTGCTAAAAATAATCAAACAATAACAACAACAAATAATGTTAATTAATGTTAAACAAAACAATTGTGTAAAATTGAAAAAAAGAGATCAGCTTTACCTACTATATTTCGCCTACCACATTTTTTCTTACGTATTTATTTCAAAAAACTTCAATTGTTTATTTTCTTTATTGTACAATGCGTTTTGCGTTCCTTTTTTTCGAATTTTAAAATGTGTTCCAAAATTCCTCAACTACTTTTACAAAAAACAAAAATCAAATCTACGGGAAAATCATAGCATAAACTAAACGTTTCTTCGTTTCTTTTTTAGAGAATACGAAAAAATAACACATTTGTCTTCTAAGCTATACGTTTTTGTTTTCATTTTTTAATTTTAGCAATATGCTTAGAGAGGTGGTGGTCGGTCTACTATTTGTAATGTTTGAATGAAAAAAAAAACTAAGTTATCATAAACACGCCACCCGCCCATCATCATCATTATTTTCTTTTGAAAATTAGTTTTTAAGTTTCAAACACAATAAAAAGTATACAGTTTAAATACCGATTATAATAGAAACTCTAAAAGATAAGACCAATCAAAGTAACATCTACTGATCTGTATGTATATACATATAAAACAAATATATTGTTTTTTTTTTCAATACTAAAAAATAAACAAGCAAAAAAAAGTGAAAAAAATTAGAAATGTTTTCTTTCTCTAAAATGGATGTGGGATGGAAGTTGAAATTATTGTGAAGGAAATTTAACAGCAATCAAAGTTGTAATGAAATGAATACTAATTTAAAATATTATTCAAATAATACCAAGCGGTTTAATTTACAGTTTGTTATTGCAGTACACATTTTATTCGTGACATTTCCTTTATTCCTCTTAATTACAGACTTGGAAATAATAAAAAATATATCCTATTTGCAAGGTAGCTCTGGATTATTCCTTTATTTGTGGCGTTTTGGCTCTTAATACGCTATTTGAAAATTAATTACAAGTATTTTTTATTTTTGTTTCTCCTCTCTCAACTTCGCATCTACTACTTAACACACATACATTCCGTTTAATTTTTAAATTCAAAATTTTCAACTGATTTGTCTCTTAGACCTTCTTAACAATTTGCACAACATCTTCGTCGTTGAGTACATGATCGATACCAACCTTTTGAGGTTGATGTTTCACAGAAGAACCCCAAACCAAGGCACTAAAAACAGAAAAAGAAAACAAAAAAGAAGCATTACAATCGCTTTCAGTTCCGATAAATTAAATTGACTTACTATTTGAATTCCTTGGCAATACTTCTATGCAATTTATTACAGAAATCTTGTATTGTTGTACGTTCACTATTCAACACAATGGGTGAACTGTAATCTGGCAATTGGCCTTTGGGTTTGGTGTAACTGAGGGATGGAAAAAAATTATTTATATTTTCTGAAAAGAGAAACACTTTTAAGTTTTGTTACTTACATTCGCACCAACTGCAAATATTCCCACATTTTCTCCAACAAATCATCAAAATTCCAACGATGATGAGCCGATATGGGTACACAATGTGGTATTTTATAAATTACATCCAATTCCTCAATGGAAATTTGATCGATTTTATTTAGCAGATATATGCAGGGTATATAAATGCGATTGCCTTCAATGACATCAATTAAATCATCACTGGTGGCATCGTAGCGCAGAGTAATATCAGCATTGTGTATTTTATATTCCGATAAAATGGTCTTCACCATATCAGAGTCCAATTCCGATTGTGGCACCATACTGTTCAAATTGACACCACCCTTGTCCTTACGTTTGAAATAGATATTTGGTGGCTTTTTGTTTAGGCGTATGCCAAAACCTTCCAATTCATGTTCCAGAAGTTTCTTGTGGCCCAAAGGTTTCAGACAATCGAGTACCATAAATATCAAATTACAGGTACGTGCCACGGCAATAACTTGACGACCACGACCCTTACCATCCTTGGCGCCCTCAATAATACCAGGCAAATCCAATAGCTGAATTTTGGCTCCTTTGTATTTGATACAACCCGGCACCGTTGTTAGAGTTGTGAACTCGTAGGCGGCCACCTCAGAATAAACACCAGCCAAATTGGAGAGCAATGTGGATTTTCCCACTGACGGAAAACCTACAAACCCGACCCGAGCATCACCAGTCTTTGCAACTTCAAAACCTATAACACAGGATAACAACAATTGCATTAACATCGTCCAGTTCTCTTTTAGATGTATGTGTTCGATATACTTTACCTTGTTCTCCAGCACCGCCGCCGCCTCCTTTGGGAGAAATCAATTCTCTTCTTAATTTGGCCAATTTTGCCTTAAGCAGACCCAAGTGAGCTGAAGTGGCTTTGTTTTTTTGGGTACGTGCCATCTATGGATCAATTATAGAGGTTAGATTCCATTACATTTCTCCAACCATCCGAATAATAAAACAACAAATATGGAATACAAACCTCAGACTCAATGGCCGCGATTTTTTCCAAAATCGTACTCATCTTGTCAAAGAATTTAAAAATCTACTTGTTTTGTGTTTAAATTAAATATAAAATGTATTTTTTTCCTTCTTCTTCTATCTAGAAAAAACAGAAGACCTCGCGTGGATAGTCAACGACCACAACACAATTTGACATACCAACACTGAGATAGCGGTCCATTTCAAGAGCTGTCAAACAATAAATGTCAAAAGGAGGCAAAACATATGGCTAGCGCAACGTATGACAGGAAATTAGATAGCCATGCTAGAAAATGCTTTTTAATTAAAAAAAATACAGTTAATTTAAAAAATTATTAAAAAAGGAATAGTAAAATTAAAAATGGCGATTAAGTGTCTTAAATAAACTGAAAGAAAAAGGTCAGCTAATACGGCTTGACATATTTGGACGTGCCTTTTGATTGCCACAAAATGTTTCTTTCAAGTATTCGTTTTTAACACAATTAAATAATTTATTACTAATAATTTTCATTTTCAAATAGATACGAAAAAACCTCTTGCTCAAATTTTCCGTGATGGAAATTCGAGAAGTAGATTTGTCAATGAATTGAAAGACCACGAGGAAAAAGTTTTCAATTGCAGCTTTGATACCGCTCAAAGTTCATTGAGCAAAAAAGTCAACTTGAAACAAACCCAAATATGTGTTAGACGCTCGCTTAAAAGACCCCATGACTCCTTTACCACGGCTGATAAATTGGAAACCAAAACGGAATTATTTTTAATGCCAATGCCAACAAAGATTAAGGCCAATAACTATGCAACAGCTAAATTAAATGCCACCGTTTGTGGCCAAATGGATGAAAAGTCGTTAATTAAAAATGAACATGGAGAGACTGGAAGTGATGTTAAACCACTTGATGATCCAATGGATGTACCACAAAGAACTATGCGTGTTTTCGTGGGTAATGTGGATTTTGTCATCAAATATTGTAAGCTGAATCCAAACATAAATGCACTATGGGATGTTTATGGTAAAAGTGGAATTAATATATTTCATTTGCTGGAGTTACCATGTGTTTTGTTTTGCAGGAAAATTAATCAAAATTACCAAAGGTAAACATCGCTTTGAACAAAGTCTTTTGATAAGGAATATGGATGGAAGTGGTCCCATTTTACAATGTGCCTATTTTGATTTTAATAATTTTGTGGACAATTTAACACTGGGTTTGTAAATTTTTTATGGCATTTTATTACATTATCTAACTAAAAATTATTCTTTCAGGTTCCAATATTCGCGTAGTTGGAAAACTGTGTGGCCTCAATTGCCTCAGAACATTTAGAATAGATCCTTGTAATAGAACCATAAATCAATCGAATTTCATACGCCTACAAAATGTTAATTCATTTGTTTTGCTACAGAATAAAAATAGCAACAACAACTAAATGGGCTTTATATAAAGATATAGCATAGCATTGATATTTTTAATAGCCTTGATATTTTCCGAACCTCGGCTTCTTAAAAAATACTTTTTTAATAATTATCAGGGCCTCCATTTTTTATATATTTTTGTTTAATAAATTGTTTTTTATTCTGCAGCAAAACAAATGAATAATGTGCTAATTCATTTCATAAACTAGTGTTTTTTAATATTTTTTATAAAATAACTTTGTTTTAATTTCTTAAAAACTCCGTATATCTGTATAATATTTTAGATTAATTAGAAAAAAAAATGTATCAGAATTTTGAAAGTAACGGTTTGAAGAAATAACAGTTTTAATTTTTAAATATTTTTTTTACCAAATATATTTTATATGTCGTTATAGGAACCAATCCAATCCAAACATTTACTTAAAACCGACCTTGGCCTTGTGGCTAGCTACCCATTCATGAAAAAATAAATAAATTGAAATTCATATATAGAATAAAACATCTTATAAATATGTTATATATAAAAATATAGTTTTTTTATATTTATTTCTCTTATAATGTATAAATATATGTATTAATACTTCTTATTTTTAGTGCTTAGAAATAATTTTATAAAGCATATTATGTTAACTATCTGGGAAGAACCTATATATTACTTTGTACTTAGAAGAAAATTTCATTATTTTTTAGTTATTTGATCCAGATCAAATGATAATAAAAAAAGAAATATAAAAAGTTTTTTTATATAAATAGAAAGCTAAATTAAATTGGGAAAGAAGCTCTACAATGATATTTAAATATCTAAATACATGAGAACTGCAATGACCAGGCCGGCTGCCAGGGCGGTTAAATAACCCAAATGAATACTACTTTTTTGTTGATGGTAACTGTAGAAGAAGAATAAGGAAATAACAAAAATCAATGTAAATAAAAACAACATTTTAGAAATAAATAATTTACTTACTAGACTCTTTTCCTTGGTGAAAATGGTGAGGGAGGATTAACACCCGGAACATTGCTATCCAAATATATTAAACTGTAACCAAATATGGCAACAAGTAAGCCACATGCAATGGGCTGTAGTATGTGCAACACTTCATGTTCCTTGGCCCAGACAACAGCATTACGATAGCTGTCTTCCAGAAATCCTTTGAAATTTACAGCATTTTCCATATTGGAATAGGGCACTGTAAAAAAAAAATAACATATTTGAATACGCAATATTTTGTAAACAAATAACCTTCCATATATATATAAATATATATATGTGTGTGTATACATCAAATTGCACAAAAACTATATGCGGAAGGTAAGGTGGTGGGATGGATGGATGTTAAGCTAACATCTAGTATAGTCTATGGTAATGAGATCATCATTCAATAGAGCACACTCTGAATTGTTTATTTTTCAATACGCATACACACACGCACACACTATTTGTAAAGTCGACACACAACAAAGGCAGTGTATCATCAATATTGTTGCATTTCCAATTCGATATTAATATTGAAATGAAAATACACACGAATTGAAATTATTATCGCTTATTTCTGATAAAAAAAAATTCTGCAAAATATTTGGGAAATTATAAAACTCTTCTTCGGTCCCAATTATTAACTATTGTTGCCATATCAACAAAAGGCGATAACGGCAACAAAATTTTAGCTAATCAAGACATAAATAACAACAAAAATTTTTAACAAACTTTGATAAAGATGTAAACAATAACCACAAAATGGTAGTCAAATAAATGAAATATTGTGCAAAAGTATTTTGTTACATTAATTTAACAAAATATTTAACAACTGGATGATATTACAGTCGTGAAAAAAAGTTTGAAATTATTTTCCATACCGAACACACACCGTCTATTGAACTTACTGAAGGCTAGGCTAGTAGTAGTACACACAGAAAGAACTAGGAAGGTGAATGTAATTCAGTCAAGTGCACAGTGATGTCACCAATAATCACTTCGTCACCGTATTTGTTTACATGAACGAGGTCAGGCAGTGGGAAACTATTTAAATAAACTATTTGTTGTTCCTCTTTTAGTTCCACACAATATCAACATGTAAATAAAAAAAATATAATTCCAATTCGATTTTTCTTGCACTGCCACGAAAAACTACCACCAACATTAGCAACAACAACACAACATCCTCCCTCCCTCAACACCCCCTTCCCTTTACACTTGCTAGTTATTTATATTTTATTTTTATTTCTTGTACTTACTAACAATAACCATTTTATAAATCAATGTTGTACAGGCAAATACCCCGAATAAAGTTATTAAACGTAAATCCAATAAAACTTTTCGATTTCCTTTTAAATTTGCGATGGTTATGATGTCTTGTCGCTTGCCGCTGTTGTGGAATGAATGATACGAAGAATTATTGAAATTCGTTGCGGTTGTTGCTGTTGATAAATTCGCATCTTCATTTTCGTGCATTGTTTGGTATTCTATTGATTGATTTATTAGTGAATTCTTTATATATATTGTTTTCGATTGAACAATTTTGAAATAAACAAAAACCGAAGATTGTACAACAACTCAACAAACAATGACGTATTCTCTAATGACGTCAAATGTTTGCATCAACAAGATGTCAGTCGTTTGATAATTGACGGCGTCGTTTCATGTGAATAACAGGCGCCGTCATTTACTCTACTTATACCACATTTACAAGGAAAGTGTTTTAAGGTAACTGCCATTTATTTGATGAATATATAGAAAGGAAATTGTAAAATATATGTGGATTTTCATAAAGTACGTTTCATGTTTACACCGAACGTGTTTTATGATAAATCGTCATTTAAATTGTTATTCCTTTGTACATATCCCAAGTAAATGGTTTCTACAAAAAATAAAGTGCTGTCCAAACGTATCCTTATATTAGGTGTGTTCCATGGTATAATTATACAAGGTAACTGTAATACTCAGTTGATTTGATTGCATCGTAATACTTGTGTCATGTTCCATATGACATTTGTGATTTATGCAAATATATAACAATATACATATATGGAAACCAGAAAAAATATAAAACACCATTTTTGAAAAGTTTTACATTTATATTTACTATATTCCCAAATCTGCAGACGATAGAAAAATGTAGTATCGACCTATTTTACATCCATAAATTGGCATGAGAATTCCAATTATATTAATTTTAAAGAGTAGTAATCCCGCCTTAATAATTATACATTTAGAAATCAAAGAAATCGTAACAGAAGTTCGTTTTCCTTTGGTTTACAAACGACTTAAATTTCCTAATGGAAACATTTGAAGCAGCAAATCCTTTTTCAATGAAAAATTGCAATTTCAACGCTATTTTTAGCGTATTTGTACGAGTTACCTCTAGACTTCCTTGTATTATTTTTAAATACATTCCTACTCATATTCTAATCATATATATATATATAAATATATATATATATATATATATATATATATATATATATATTCTTCCTATTCTAATAATATTCATAAGTTCCTTTAATTTTTTACTCGTTTTTTTCTTCCTTTCTTTTTGATAACGCCTAGTTTATCGACTCAACGTTGAAATATCAATAGTCTAAAGCACCACTAATGGCGACAAACAGCCAGCGTCGTTATTGTGTTTCAATTCCTACCGTTATGCGGGTTACACTGCTCGTCTTGTGTGCTCGTAACTATTGATTTTTTCAACAATTAACATTTCGACGACATAAGGATACACACAGAAATTACTTAAACAGAAGGAAACAAATAAAAAAATGGAAGAAAAATCCTTAATGGAAAATATTTCAAATCAAGAAGACGGTTTCAATTTATTAAAAGATGAATCTGCACCATCAGAAGAGGCAGATAAAAAAGTAAAATTTTTAGATTATAGCAACATTAAAATTAAGAATCAACAACATATTGTACCCATTGGCCTATTAATTGTTTTGGCCACAATTTATTTGGGTATGAGTGGCATACAAAGCTGTTTTGTGAATTGTTCCGAAAATCATCAATTGTTGCTAAAATCAGCCCAAAATTTAATCTACAACAACAATAACGATGATATTAAAGATCCACAAGTTATATTGGAACGACTGCTGGAATACAAGGACATATGCAGGGATTTGGAAATATTTACGAAAGAACTTAACAAAACAACAAATGCTAAAACACAAGAACAAACAGACGATGTAAAAAATGAAATTGTTTTGGAAAATAGTGGCAGTGGAAGCGGTGGCGGCAGCGGCGCTAATGGTGCCACTGATGATGGCAGTGGAGACGAATGCACAACCACCACCAGCAGCACTAAGTCATACAGTAAGAAAAACAAAAAGCCTAAATCTAAATATTCAATAAAGTTTCCTACTAACGCTAAAAATGGTTTTCACAAATACAACAAATCAACAACTAAAGCTAAAAATGGCAAACATGACAAAAAGGATTTGAATATAAATAAGAAAAACTCCTCTGCAGAGCCAATTATATATCTATTTGCCCTGGTATTTATATATTTGTTAATAAAAGCAGCCTCCGATATAAATCAGCATTATAAATCTGTAAGTTTACCTTGAGAAAAAAACATGACAATTTATGGTAACTTTTGTTGTTTGCAGGAAAATAAAAAGGACAAAAATTTCATGAGACGATGCTCATTGCAATCGTATGCCCAAGCCCATAGGGATCGACGTTCATCAAAAGGTATTTCTGCTAAAAGTTTGCCGAAATTTTAAAATTTCTTAAACTACCTATCTACCTACTACCATTTGAAAAATCTTACTCAACAAACGAGAAACAAAAAGCATTTAATTTTATAAAACTAACTGTACCAGAAACAAAACAAACAAAAAATGACTTGAAATCAAAATTTTTTGACCAAACTATTTAGCTTTAAATGCAAAAAAAATGAAAAACTGAAAAACAGACTCACACACACATCCAACAAAAAAGGAAACGTTTTTATCCTCTAAATGTTATTTGTATATGTAGAATGTGTGTAGACATGTAAGCGTCGTTTCATCTATATTTTGAATGTACTTTGTGATTAAAAATATATATACATACCTATATTTAATATAAAGCCTTCCCTCCGTACCTATTAACCTTATACAAATGAATAGTATTTTATTAATATTAGTAAATTTAAATGTTTTTTGTTATTAGAGAACGAACTTAGCTGTCAGAACTTTTACTTAAACTTTACTTTTTTGAAGACAGTCTTTGTTTGTTTGCCAATAATCAGTTTAAATTGGGTTGTTTTAAATTTATATATTAAAATGAAATTTCTTTCGTAAGTTCTCTTCTACTGTAGCTCTTGATTTTCGTCCAAGTTTACACTGTTTATTATCAAAGTGGTATAGGGTAATCCTTGTTACCTTTGAGAAAAACTAATGTCAGAACCCCCAATTATCTATCCCCTTTCAACTTAGTCTAAAATCGTACTATTTTTTATTAACCTCTTTTTTTTTTGATAATCTGTGTATTGAGAGCACTAGATATCTTCTGAATAAATTTGTTCACAATATTTAGATTCTTGGTTCACACTTATCTATGTTGTTACAATTTCTTATACTTGTATTTAGAAACAATTACCAAAAACTTTAATAAAAAAAATGAACTTAAATGTCTCTGTTTTTTTCGTGTTTTATTATTCGTTTCTTTTTTTTACACTCTCCTCCTATCTATCCTTAACCACCAATAAACTAAATTTGGTTTCCTTTCGATGTTTATGTGCTCTTCGTCTTCTCCTAATTGCCTTTGTCATCGATTTTTTTCTGTATCAAAAATAAATGAAAACGAAACAAAAACTTATTAGCAAATAACCTTTTTACCAAAATCAATTCAAAAAACAACAACAACATTAGAATTGGCAATGAAAACAAAACAACAACGCACATTGGCATCTTCGCAACGTTCCATCAATGCTGAACAGATGGCAAAAGCACAACAACAACATTTCTATCATCATCACATCGAAACATCACCCGTTCAAAGACCACTACCACCACCAACACCACCCACACAGTCTCCTGCGCCTAGGAGCGGCAACAACAGCAATTGGCAATTGTTACGACAACACATGACACTATCTGTAGATAATTCGGATTTAATTGTAACCCCCTTGAGTAAACCAGGTAGGTGGTCAACACACTTTCCCCATCGGCACCCATAAACCTCCTCATTTGCATTCATTTTCATTTCATTAAAGAGTTTTCTTCCATGATGAAACGCAGACGTTGTTCAGTACCAGTTGCTCTAAATTACCAAAGACAAACCAATAAAACATCCTCACAACCAAATCCCCTGGCAATATTAAATGATCCTCCAAAAATAAGACGAACCTCCATAACCATGCTGCCCTTGGATAACGTAGATCCATTGGCTGCACCCGAGGGAATGAAACGTAGAGTACGCATGATAAACAGGCATTAGATTCCCAGCCAAGTTAGCAAGTAATCAAAAGAAAAAAAAAACATATTTTGATTTTTTCTTTTTTTAATGAAACAATTTACAAAAAATGTATACGGATTTTATTCGTAAACTATTCTGATATGTATGTATGTAGTACGTACGTAAAAGTAAGTGAATGTAGTAGTGGTAAAATTAGCGGGTGTATTGGTGTAAATCTAAAATCATTAAACATACTATAGCTATATATATATGAAGCGCATATATAAAAGAAATATATTTGTGTTATTTACATTTTTATCTTCGAAATACAGATTTATAAATAATCATAAAAATAGGAGTTATTCAGAAAAAAACCTTAATTAATATTTATTATTGTATTGTATAATTTTTTTCTTCTTTTTTCGAATTTTGTATATAAAACGTTTCTTCTGTTTTTTACCAGACATTATTACAATAATCTATTAAAAATGAAATGGTCACCTATCCAGTAATGGGTCAATGTGATTTTTGAGAGATGTAAAACAATTTGCTGTTGTTTTTCTTTCTTCTTGATGATTCACTTTTATCAATGTACATTTTATTATTATTATCAATATTATTAAAATTAACACTAAACTACTTATTATGTACTTTAATTAAATAAAATAATTAATAATAAAAATATTACACGCTAAAAGGCAAGATATTTGAACATGGTTTTAATTTGTCTCAACCGTTAACTTACTTACAAATGTGTGTGTGTGTATATAGATGCATTTGTTTGTGTGTGTTAGAATACTACTATGTTGCATTTCGTTTGTGATGTTTTTTTCTTTACTTGGAATGGAAGACGACAACATTGGCATTGGGATGGACAACGCCGGGCGGCTAACTCAATTCATTGCCCTCATAAAGACTTTCACAACTTTCCAAAAGACGCAGTACCGGCGATATATCATACGGATACAATTGTCTGGACACTAGCCGCGATATTTGTAATCTTAATCGTATCAGAACACTCATCGCCTCATCCAAGATGCTAGCACCCATGCCAAAGTCATGGCAACTTTGCACAAACATAGACCAATTCATTCGTATGTATTTCAGGAATCGCAACAAATAGAGCAGGAAACAGGTCTCGTTGCTGACCAACAAATCGAGCAGCAAATCCGAGCTGTTCGATATCATTTTGAGGAACTCTAGGAATGTATAGACGGGATTTAACATTGACACCAATTCGGGAAATGCATTGTTACGAAACGATATGCCAGCCGTGACGTCCAGCGTACACACCATGGCCTCGATCAGATGATCGTCCTGATCATCGAACAGATGTATTAGAATTTTACTAAAATGACATTCGGGATGGAATTCCAGTGTGTGTTTGATAAATGATTCCAACTTGCGCAGTACATCGCGTATGGAGCGTTCAATTAGAACCATATCCTGAAAGGCATCATAATCGGTGGAATCGATCGATGAGTCGGACGAATCGCTACGTATTTCCTTGACGGTAACAGCTATTGACTTGAGGACGAGCAATACGATTTTCTGCAAAATCGTTTTGTCCATTTCAATAACTTCGGCCGCATTCAAAGCACTTGAGTTGACATCATCATCATGGCCATAGGGATGATGCTGAAGTGACTGTGGCGCATAGGCCACTGGTTTCCGTTTGAAACCAATGAAGCCCACAATATTCTCCGGCTGTCGACGAGGTAGAGATTCTAATATACGAAAATCCTTCACATGTCGTACAATCTGATGGGCCAACATACATGTTTCGTCGGGCAACATATCCTGCAACGCCAATGTGGAGCCATAACACAAGGCCTCATTGAACAGACACAACATTTGTTTGTACACCGTGCAGGACAGGTTCTGATTGAGCAGCAGTTCGAATTTGTCCAACTGTGCATAGAATGGCAAAGTCTCAACTATGGAGAGATTGGCCTTTACGGATATGATGTTCTCCCACAACTGAAGGAAATTCAAAATACAGTTCTCGGCGTTTTCAACGTCCAAATGATTTGCTATCAGGGCCGACATATTCTTAACCAATGCCGGCCATTTGTTTTCGAGTATTTTTATGGTAATGCATTTGAGATGGGTGGTATCAAAACTTTCCGAGTCCGTTAGGGTAACCAAATGACAACTTTGACCCAGTGTGGCGGCTGCTGTGTGGTGATGATTAATTAAACCATTGAAATGATGTGGGTGGAGGTGATTGCTGCTGCCAGGCGCCTGATGCACAGACGAGCTGCTGTGGGCATACATGGGAGCACCCGCATTTGTGTTAGTCGCCGCATCGTCAATATTCTCCGTCGAACTATAATGCATTGCAAAATAATTGCTCTCCAATGATGTTTGTTGTGTTTGAAAATGTAGGTAGCCGTGTCTACTCTCACCCATAGACGTCGATGCTGTTGGCTCGGCTACACTATGCGTTTCGGCAATTTCTTCTTCCAGTGGATGCAAATCGATGTCCTTCCATTCAACAATCCGTTTTATTATCTCCAAACTGAAGTGCATTTTTTGTACGGCAACATGATCAAGCCGATCAAAGTTGAATAGATTGTCCACCAATTTCTTCAGCCAATCATCATCCATTTCCTGTTTGGCTATAACCAGAAATGAGGCCAGAACACGGCCAGCCAGAAACTGTACATACATATTGTTGTAGCCCGCCAATACAATGATCTCATCGATGAGATTGTGGTCGTTGCGTATGAGAGCATCGCAAACGTCCATAATCCGGGCGCATATAAAGCCCTTGGAATTCTGTTTTAGGTATATGTCAAAAAGTAACTGTAGATTCGAGAGAAATTGCAAAAGTTTATTCGTCGGCCATTCACTCAAATTTGCGACACGTTTCTGACCATTGGCGTCCATTGAGTAGTGCGATTGGAAGGGTTTCCTCAGCATACGCTCCGACACTCCACACAGGCACTGTCTATTTAATGATTCTTCGAATTCCCGCATATCCTGGGAAGCGGTAATTTCATCCAACCGTTGTGTCCTCGCCGTTAACGACGCTACAGTGGGGTTAGCATTTGGTACAGTGTGGCAGGACGATGTTAATGTGTTTATTAGTAATTTGCTATTGCTGCTGGCGGCGGAACTGCTGGCAGCCATTGTCGAAGACAATGACAACAAATCAGGCAGGGTAACACGATCGACCTCATCAGCCGAATGGTCACTGGAACTACACACACTACTGCTACTACAACCACTCGAGGCACTTGCAACCATGTTAAGATCACTGCGTACAGATGAATCGTCTTTGGATGAGGGCAAAATGCTGGCGACGAGGTTTTGAACATTTAACAGCTGTGTTAGGGACGATGCTCTTGAACTACACGGTGTGGATGACGGTGAACTACTGGACGATGAATCTTGTGTGGATATTGAATTGACCGAAGACGACAGTGAGGAACACAAAGGAATTTTTTCACTGCTGTAAATTATATCCGGAGGACATGGCATAGCTGGAGTGGACACATTTGAAACTGGTGTTGAACTTGCAACTGTTGTGGATGGTGATTTGATTTTTTCAATTTTCTGTCGTTTAGTTTGGGGTTGTTCATGATGGACGCTACTGTTGTTATTCATAAGGCCCGACGACGACGACGATGTACTTATATTTGCATTTATGTTATTGCTATTGTTGTTGTTATTGTTATTATTATTCGAATTTTGAACTGTTGAAGGCATTCCGGCTCCTGACATAAGCACAAAGTTAATGTCTCCCCTATTGTGGGTATCCTTTTGCGAAGACATAACTCAACCAATAGCTTATCAGACGTTCCCGACGTCTTTTTTAGAGTTTATTTTCCACACACTTCACAAAACAGTTAGCTACCACGAAAAAATGTCCCGTTCTTTCCTAAAAAGAAAGAAAACATTTTATTTTGGATCACAATTCTTCAACTACAACAAGAACAAAACAACTGAATAACAACAAAAACACAAATCCCTGAAAACGCTCAACAGACAACATGCATACCAGCAGCAGCATCGTTCGCCTCGCATAGTGATGCCATGACAAAAGGGCTACTGTGCTACGCAGCTTCACAAGGTTACGTGTGCATTTGCTGTAGAGCAGTAGCAATCCTTTTTGTTCCATACTTGAGGTCGATCCGCAGTCCTCGAATTCGTTTCCATTGGGTATTTGGCATTTTTGTTGATTATTATCTTTCTTTTATTTACCTTTTTTACGTTAAAATGTTTTGTTATTGATATCTGCTGCGCACAACAATTCGCTTGTTTTCGTGTACAATTTACTCAAGTAAACGGAACGTTTCATGTTGATTGTTCGCAAATGACATTCTTCGAAATATTAGCCATGTAAAATTATAGTTTTTTGTAATAATTATTTGGAAATAAAATAACACAAGCCACAGCAAAAGAATTTTTCAATTTTTTCTTGATTTCGACTTCTTAATTACACACTATGTCGCCATCTTGCTAGATGTGACTGAAACAAAAATTAAAAACGTTCCATCTGCTACAAATTTGGGGGAGAAAGAATACGCGATAATGAAAGAACTCAACGTAATCGATAATGTTGCTACGTACTAAAGTGGTGTATACACCGGCAAGCATAAATAGAATAAAAGTTAAATTTAATTATTTAAATAAATTTGAGTGTTTTGGCCTTTTCCCGTACTGCAATAATCTACAACATTTTACTACGGTAATGATCTTTCCTATATGATATCGAAGAAAATAGTATCGACAATGTTGTTACCTAGTAAAGTAGTGTACACACCAGCAAGCATAAATAAAAGTTAAATGTAATTATTTTTAATAAATTGGAGTAGTTTTGAGTGTGTCTGACTCTTGGCTATGTAATATTGATAATGTCACTTACAAACTGGCTGGACTACTGCAGATGAATACATTTCCTTTATTAAATCTAAATTATATTAATATTATTATAACTGTACATTTACACTGGGCTGGATTAAGAAACTCTAGTAGATCTTTGAGGACAAAACAAATGTATATATGTCAAATAAATCCTCGCAGAGAATTTCACCTCGTAACAAGGTATAAAGGGTAAAACACATACGAAAATTTTAGGCATGACGTGTTTAACGTAAAATAATGAAAGAAAACTGCGATCAAATGTTTGCAATCCTTTGTAAATAGTCATTTAATACAATTTAACTTAATGAAGAATGTCTGACATTCTCGTATGTGTCTTCTCCCTCTTTACATGCCGTGTGGGTGAGTATTCACAAATATGATTTTTCAATTTTATAACGGAACAATCTTAAAGGATTTCGATATGTAGGATTTTTTTTGTTTTGAAATACATTCAAAACAATGTATTTTTTCGATAATACAACAAAAACATGGTAACGTTCAGTGTTGATGTTATCATCACCATGTTGTTGTATTATTGGTAATAAATAAAGCGACGGATGGCTTCAATGCGACCATTGTGCCGGGGCCTGAATGGTTCCGTTGCATTATCCGTTGTATGGGTAGAATGTGCTTTGGATTTCAAGCACTGTTTTGTTTATTTTCGAGCTAAATGTCCCTACATCAGATTGTCTGTTATGTTTTGATTCTTAACATCCGATTTCGCTTTCTTTTTAGTTTTTTTCAGAAAACAACGGTACATTTCAACAGATATATAAACCGCAGATAATTTTCAAATTTTTAGTACTCCGAGGCAATAACACATCAATTTGATCCAACATCAATAACAATATAATTTTTTGTAATTTCTTAATTTGTTTCAAAAAATGTTCTAATCAAACGATTAAAAATGTATTAAGAAACGTATTTCTCGACAAATCCACCAAAAATTCAGCAATTTTAATTCATATTTTTTTAAATCATAACTATTTGACAACTCACTGTACTAACCAGCTGTTCAGATGCATTTACCCTGTCTCCAAATAACATATTCCTTTTCTTTGCGCAGTCACTCGATGTGAATGCCCACTAAAGAAGAAGTTCAAAAAATTTGTTTTTCATTTGACATTGAAAAAGTTGTTTCTGTATTCATTGCCTGGAAGAAGAAGTTCAAAATTCTCACGGCACATATCCAGTCGGCATTTGGTTGGAAAAGATATACTTATTTTTTTATTAACTATTTAAACTTAAATTATCGGAAGATAACCACTAGTAAAATGGCTGGTCCACTACCATTGCTATCAACTGAAGCGGTTTACAAAAAAATTGCCGACTATTACAAAGAGAATGGCGAAAAAATTAATATAAAAAATCTGTTTGAAAGTGATCCTGAACGTTTCAAGAAATTCAGGTAATTTTTATGGCATTAAATTGTGGGTTTTGAATTGCATTATCTATAAAGTGGGATTATTTTTTCTTTATTATTGAAGATAGATAAGTAAATCCTTGTTTAAATAAGTACATAGTCCAGCAGGTTACATCAAGGTTATTATATATAGAATTTGTATTAACTATTACATGATACCATTACTTGATTGCACCTTCATTGAATTTTGAAAGGTGATTTACATTCACAAAACCAAAAATAGATGTTTTTTTGAAAAAGTGAAAGTCGCACATGTGGAGGTTTGCAAAAAATACAAAAAAACATATTGAAATATAAGATTTGAATATGTGATGCTGTCTGCCTACCTACTAGATACTTTTTGTCGGATTTTTCATTAATGAATGATTTTCTTTGAAATACGTCATCGATGTATATATGTATTTTTGTGAATTAAAATTCAAATATATATTTTTTTGTTTTTGTATTTGAATACTTAACACGGAAAGTGTGTATTCCAATTAATTATCTATTAATTTCAATTTATTCGAATACTAAAAAAATGAAAGTGTGCGTATTCCACCCCTTAAACTCATGACCCGTCCTTTGCCACTCCCCATAAAATATCACCACAGGGGAGACATATTTTCATCAACTTAATTAAATATTGATGTGCCTGTTTTATGTACTGTCAAACATATATGGGTATAACCTAACCGTCAATCAATTTTTATAAATAATCAAACACCACCAACTCAGTGGTCGTCAGTATTTTCTTTAATTTAAATTAAAATTCAACAATATGGACTGCTATCTTTATTTTAAAAAATGTCCTTACTTTAAAGCACACACATTTTTTTTAAATATTAATTAATGAGATTCATAAAAATTCAAATAAGTGATTGAAAATTAAAAAAAACAATTGTTTTTTTTCGAATTCCAGTTTGCGCATCAGCACACCCAATGATGGTGATATCTTACTCGATTATTCAAAAAATCGTATTACACCCGAAGTATGGAATCTACTTTTGGAATTGGCCAAAGTCAGGCACGTTGCTGAGGCTCGTGACGCCATGATGTCTGGTCAGGCCATTAACATTACCGAGAATCGTGCTGTATTGCATATTGCCTTGCGCAATCGCGGAGACGAAGCAATTCTGGTCGATGGCAAAGATGTTATGCCCGATGTCCGTGCTGAATTGACCCACATGAAGGAGTTCACCAATCAAGTCATTTCGGGTGTATGGCGTGGTTTCACGGGAAAACAAATTACAGATGTTGTTAATATTGGCATTGGTGGTAGCGATTTGGGTCCTCTGATGGTCACTGAGGCTTTGAAGCCCTACTGCAAGGGCCTACGTTCCCACTTTGTCTCCAATATTGATGGTACCCACATGGCTGAGGTCTTGAAGAAGGTGAACTATGAAACCACACTGTTTATCATTGCCTCGAAGACTTTTACCACACAAGAAACCATAACAAATGCCACATCGGCCAAAAATTGGCTACTAGAACAAACAAAAGATGTAAGTTTTTTTCTCTTATCAGCAATTTACAACAACAACAAAATATTTTTTGAAACTTTTATAGCCCTCTGCTGTTGCTAAGCATTTTGTGGCTTTGTCTACAAACAAGGAAAAGGTCACTGAATTCGGTATTGACAGCAAAAACATGTTTGGTTTCTGGGATTGGGTGGGAGGACGCTACTCCTTGTGGTCAGCCATTGGTTTGTCAATTTGCCTATCGATTGGCTTTGAACATTTCGAGCAATTGCTTGAAGGTGCCCATTTCATGGACAAGCATTTCAAAAATGCTCCCTTCGAACAAAATGTAAGTGGAAATAAATTTGTCGTCTTTGGAATATTTTTATTGATTAAATGTAATTTATAGGCCCCCGTCATTCTGGCAATGCTAGGCATCTGGTATTCGAATTTCTACAATGCTGAAACCCATGCCATTTTACCCTATGACCAATACTTGCACCGTTTCCCCGCCTACTTCCAACAAGGTGATATGGAAAGTAATGGAAAGTTTGTTACCAAGACTGGCAGCAAGGTGGTCGACTACAACACCGGTCCAATTATCTGGGGCGAACCCGGCACAAATGGCCAACACGCCTTCTATCAACTCATTCACCAGGGTACTCGTTTGATTCCATGCGATTTCATTGCTCCAGCTAATACTCACAATCCAATTGCTGGTGGTGTCCATCACAAAATTTTGCTTGCCAACTTTTTGGCACAAACTGAGGCCCTGGCCTATGGCAAGACTTCGGAACAGGCTAAGGCTGAACTTGAAAAGGCCGGCGTCAAGGGAGAAAAATTGGAACAACTCTTGCCCCATAAAGTATTCACCGGCAACCGTCCCACCAACTCCATTGTTGTTAAGAAATTGACACCTTTCATTTTGGGAGCTCTTATTGGTAGGTTTACAAGACCCCCCAAAATAGCTACGAAGTTCAAACTAAAGTTCGTTTTTTCTTTTACTCCTTTACAGCTATGTATGAACATAAAATCTTTACCCAAGGTATTGTTTGGGACATCAACTCATTCGATCAATGGGGTGTTGAACTGGGAAAACAATTGGCAAAGGCAATTGAACCTGAATTGGCCAACAAGGACCCGGTCTCTTCACACGACTCCTCCACCAATGGTCTCATCAATTTCATCAAAACCAATTGGTCTTAAATGGCTGCATCAAATTAAAACTGATTCTCCAAAAAAAAAAAACGTACTAAATTGCAAGGTTATCTAGTAGCTTGCATTACACATTTCCTTAAATTTAATTTCATTACGAAATTCGTTTGGAGGATTTTGTGCAATCTGTAGAATTATTTGCTTAATCTCTAATTTTCACTCAATCACACACAAACACACAAATTATAAGCTTTTACATACAAACATGTTATAAGATTATTCTTTAGAAATATAAGTTCAAAAGAAAAAACTAATGAATATCAGCGTTATTGCCCTCTGTCGTTGTCATATTACCCAATATGAGATATACAAATTGTTAAAACCTATTGTCGTATGTACTCTTCATTATCCGGAAAACATAGATGTAGAATGTAACTAACAACCACAAAAGGAATGAAAATAAAAGACCTATTTGTTAGATGTTTTAAAAAAAATACGGCGTACACTGTATTTGAATTCCTTCTTTTTCCATCAGCATCACATCATCATATTGTGGGAATCTGGGGGTGGGGGATATTCGGTACTTTTGAAAAGACTAACTATAGACATAACTTAAAATTAAAGAAAAGATTTAGATCTCTTTTACTACATATCCATATCATCGTCGTCATCATCATCCTGATCCATTGATTCGCCACCATTTTTCTGATCATCCTCATCATCCTCTTCGCCCTCTTCCCATTCATCATCTGAAGAAGATTTGTTAATGGCATCATCTAAATCGGATGTTGAGGAGTCTAAAGCAAAGAATTTTTGTATTAACCCACATGGCTGTTACTCTCTCGTTTAATTTCAAAGCTTACCATCATTATCCTCAAATACCAAGACATTATCACTCTTAAGATTGTCTTGATCCTGTTCATTATTTCGTTTGATTTGACTAACAAGTAATTGTAAGCGACCATTCAGTCTGTAAGAGAAAAATACATCAGTTTAACAACAGTTTAATTTGTGTCATTAAAGTTGTTGCTTTGCCACATACTTTGACAGTTCTTTGAGACAGTTGGCTCTATGTTCAATTATTCCAATACAGGGTCCAAATTTATTTAGCAAATCTTCAGCTCCCAACGCCATAAGCTGACTAGAATGTGTCTGGGCTAGTACCTTCAACCAGTTCATGGCATATTCCACACTAAACAAAAATTCTTATTTAATTAACGTTCCGCAATACAATTTCTGCTCTACTCACTTGGTGTGTCTTTGCTGCATTAACAAGGTCAATTCATTGACCAAGGTGCCAACATATTGGACAGGTAACTTCTGTAATGTCAACTGTATAGTCTTCATATCTTTTGTACATAATACGGAACGTAATAACCTTTGGAAAAATAGAAAGAAATTTCAATGAGTTGCACAGAAACATGACTCCAAAGAGCGAATAACTTACGTCTCATCTTTACTGTGCAGCGATTGTACCAATAACTGGACCTTACTTTGAGCCTGTGGTACTACTTTGCCCTCACCCACATTAAGATTAAGATTTTGCAATCGTGCCTCCATGGGCATATCTAATGGCTTCAGTTTTTTGTTCGTCACTGCTATCGATGATTTGTAGTCCACGTCCTTGGTATCTATTATGGGTGTAATCATTTTGAGGGCCTTCTCTGATCCGATTTCATTGCGTTTTCCTATTAGCTGTTGTTTGGCTTGTTTGCGTGGATCTTTGCGCACCAAAACCTGCATTTTTTCGTTGAAACTTGGTTTCAGCTGTTCAAATACGATAACATGTTTATCACCATAGGCGAAGAGTAATTCTCCTTGTTTGGTCGAATGTTGCAACGAAGCTGCCACTGCAGTAATGGGCTCAATAACAGTTGTACTATCGGACGCAATGCTAATGGTTACTTTTGGTTTCAGTGGTTTGTCCGCTTTGATGCTATCTATGTCCAAGACATATACATGTATTACACCACTTCGGGTGACACTGGACACACGCAGTGTGTTCTCATCGTCGATGTGACATGTTAGGCAGTGAGCGATATCTTCCATTAGTAAGGTACAAGCAGCCGGCTTATTGCGGCCTTTCTTGCCTATTTTCCACAGGCATATAATGCGTTCCATTCGTGACGTTGTGAGAACATATTCGCTGCCATCGTTGCTGACAAATTGTGCCATCAGGTTGATTTCAGAAGTGTGTCCCGTAAATGTCTGGACCAATTCTTCCCTGTCTGTGGAATATACTTTGAGAGATCGAGAGCCGACCACTAATGATTTGGATGTAGGCATTAGGGAAATACTAAAAGGTTTCTCGGGTCCAACACTCCATGACTTCAACTGTTTTTCTTCGGCCAGAGACCAAACAATAACTTGGCAATCTTCTCCGCAGGTGTACAGATGTCCCTCCGTATCTCGAATGATGGATGTGATTTTACCATTGTGTCCTTCACCTTTAAGACTGCGTTCAATCTAAAATAGGAATACTATTCACAATTTTCCCCAGGTACATAAGGCAAAATAATTGTTTACCTTGGCTTCGGCATAGGAATACAAGGACACTTGTCCTTTGGATGTGCCCAGAGCAATATAAAGGGATTCACTGCTTTCGCTGGATTTTCGTGCCTTCTTTCCCTATAAAAAACACTTTCTTATTAATTGTTACATGTAACATGTGGCTGGTATTCACTCACCTTTTTGTCTTTGATAGCACTTGCGGCCGTGGAGACCGTTATCCACACCAAAGCCGAGCATGGTCCGGACAAATGCAGATTCGGTGTGTATTCCTGCTTGAGTTCATTGGTATCTGTATCCCATATCCTCAGAATACCCTGATCATTGATTAGGGCAAAAAGTTTTCCATCGGGTGAAAATCCCAACACGTGCTGCTCACCAAAAGCCATTTCCAAAATAACATGCTACCATACCACGGTAAACATTAAAATCAAAAAGCCAACAGGGTGATTCCAATTGACAGATAACCGAAAATGTTGTACGACAAATCGTATGTGTCGTTTCTTATGCTCTTTGTTATATCCTCTTTCATCAACAACTAACTTGTTGTCGTGTAAAATAAAAAAAAAGTATACCGAACCACCCTGTTATGAAGCACACTCTTCCTCTTGTTTTATTTTTTTGCAGCAGCAAAGAATACCATCCAAGCCATTTTAATTTAATTTCCCAACTTTTTCTTTCAAAATGACGATGACCGCAAGAGAGAGGAGCACTTTAGCTGCCTCAGCAGATCATGAATGGACCGCCGAAGAAGAGATTCAATTGTTTTATGCCATGGCCGGCCTGAAACCTGTCGGTGTTAACAAGCATTTTTACATAGCCTGTATTGCCGAACGTGAGTATTTAGCACACTACCCCTGAAACTTAAAACACCGCTGAATTGTTTTTGTTTGCAAAGGCTTGAATCGTGACACCGAAAGCGTTTGGGGCCATTTACGAACTTTGTACAATCTTGAGGCCTTAGATGAATTGGAACCACTGCCTTTTCCCAATGATGAAAAAGAATTCTCCTTGCCAGAGGCCGAGTTCTCTCTGCTGTTGTCAAAGAAGAGGGGACACGTATCTGAGGAGACCACCAGCGACGGTCCGCCATCAATAATAGCCGTCGCAACAGACAACACAACTAAAGGTAAGTCTTTAACCATTTCCGTCAATGAAAGTATAAGGCAAATCCTTATTGCAGACAAATCCTTTACCCAAACCAAATTACCTAGCACCACAACGCCCACAGTCAAGGAATTGGATAAGAAAATTACAGCAAAACTTGCGGATGGTCCCAAAAGAACTCCAAAACGTACACGAGGATCAATGTCACTGGAATCGAATAGTCCATCGACCACACCACCGCCACCCGTGCAAAACAACAAACGACGACGTATATAAGGTCACTGAAGCCACACCATCAACAACACGTACATACTATTTACATTTTTCCTTATTTATAAGTTTTATTTTTTATAAGTTTAGAGTTACACACAAAGAAAAAATACTGCACACAAAAACGAAGCGAAGCAAAATAGAGAATCAATCATCGAATTCATTGGCGTTGTCGTCGTCTTCATTATCGGCGAGGGGAGGGATCTCCATAACGTTCATTCTTTGAAGAAATGTTGATAAAAGTTTTTTGTTTAGATGATCGGTTTGTGTTATCTCTCGCACCACCTGAGGGTCCGTAACTGGATCAGCATGTTGTGGCGTGTTATAAAGTGATAAGATTTGTAGGGATACATCCAATTCTTCCTTAGGTGATTCCAGACAACAAGGCATTTTCACAATTTTTATTTTTTTCTCGTAATTTTCTAACAAAAAATATTAGTCAGATCGGGATTGAGATGTAATAATGAACTTGATGTGAAATGTTGTTTGAAATGTGTATGTAACAGGGTGCCTCAACACGTATCACACGGGGTGTTCACATTGTCACAAATCATATATTTCTTATAAATGTTCTAAAATTCATCTTATAAACAAATCGATATTCAAATATATTTTGTTATATTTTTCAAAACATTACACACATAGAAAAAAAGTGACATTCCATTAATTTTTGGTAAAATGTTAAAAATTGGTTAAATGAACAGAACGACTTGTTGCATTTGTTTATTATTTTCCATAAGGTAGAGGTGTATTTTTTCCTTTCTGACAAAAGCTACCCTACCTTGTATAATTGTACCATGGACTTTAAAGTGGCCACATAATTAAAACATTTGTTCGGTTCCCGTACTGCCACTTTACCACTTTTTACTACAATAACGAATTTTCCCTTATGATATCGAAGAAAATAGTAAAATCTAGTAGGGAACAGACAAATTTTTTGCTTTCTTTACTTTACTGTTTTTTTTTTAATATTTGCAAAAAACTCGAAATTTTTTTTTAATTAAGTAAAATAAACACCGATAAAATCATTTACGGATGAAAATTAAAAAAATTGGCAACAATTTGAACAGAACAGTACATTCGGAAAATCACCCTTAATGTATAAAATAAATGTCCGAATGTACGAGAAATTGCTAGAATTAATAGAAAACAACAAATAATTCTTAAAATAAATAAATATTTGAAATAAAAGCACAAAAAATTGAAGAAGGATGGAATCATAATGCAATAATAAGGTGATGTATCAAAACAAAAACCTTTGTTTTGTCGCGACCATCTGTCAAATTTTTAATTTAATTTAATTTTATTACGTATAGTAATAAAGCCAAATAGGCCATTTAAGTTAAACAAAACAACATACCTTATAATATTTCACATGGTTGGCAACATTACACATCGAATTCAAGTGGTAATTACACACTTTGACAGTTAATCAAGACATCAGCTGCTCTAAATGGACTACATATTCATTGTGCCATGATGCAATAATAATGTGATGTATCAAAACAAAAACCTTTATTTTTTGTCTTGACCATCTGTCAAAATGTTTCCTTATAATATTTCACATGGTTGGCAACATTGCTCCTAGAATTCAAGGAGAAATTATGCACTTTCACAGTGAATCAAGACATCAGCTGCTCTAAATGGACTACCTATTCATTATGCTATGGCCGTAATATTTTTGCAGTGTGTAAGAGGAAATATCGATAAATATTGACATTTATTAGTCTGTAATCGTACAAAATACGGTCACCTCATCATTGCCTGTGTGTGTTTGTGTGTAAGCCATTTTTGTATATACATAATAATTTGTTTGTCATAACTGTAATCGTATTGTATTTTAAAAACACAATTTTATAAAAATATTTCTTTTTTAAATTATTGTTGGGCTTCTTAAGTGATCGTGTGGCATGTTGAATGTGAATTACGTTATCGTCTACAAACGAAAATCATCGAAAAAGGATTATTGCGAGCAACTTTAGCATTGAAGAACTGTCGTCGTCGCCGTCGTTGTCGTAGTCGAAATTGCAGGGGGAAAGTTTTGATGTAGACGTCGAAGAAACCACAACAAACAAAGAGACGTCACACAGCAACTTACACACAGCCAACCGACTGACCGAACGCAGAACGAAAAAAGAAAAACAAAAGTGAATTTCCAATAAGGAAACAACAATTGTCCCAACATGGATTACGTCTATTGTGGAGATCCCATTGCAGGTGAGGATATGCTAAGTGAGTTAGTGTTGTTGTAGTTATGTTGACCTGTTACCTTTGTGTTTGTGGGGTGTTTGTAAATAGATGTCTATGATGGTGGAGGAACTCGATCTGCTGCAACCCATTACTCGCCAAATTTCGCTGGCTTCAATTTGGGCTCCGAACCAGATTACATGGAAATGGTGCCAATATTGGCAGATGGTGGGGAAAATTTTGGTGTTTCAGCTGTTACCTTTGACAATTATGAAGAACTCTTGTGGATGGGCAATCAAGGTGTAAGTGACTTGAATTTATATAGGTATTGTGCCCACAAAAAACTAATGAACTTTTTCATGACGTTTTAGGGTCATGTAACATCATATTATCTTAGCAACACATTGCAAAAGTATACATCATTCCAAGTACATCCGTCGGACATTGTGCGCCAAATAACCACCATTGATTCGGGCATATTGGCATTGACACAAACTTCGCTGAGACATCAAATACGCCGAGGAATTCCGAAATTCACCCACAAATCAAAGAATATGACGGAAATGGTGTGCATGCAACAGTTGTCACCGCATCGTTTGATAATGGCTGGTCTCCAGGATGAAATGATTGATTTTGATTTGAGGACGTTGAAGGAAACGAAATTGGTGGGTAGACAGGCATAGAATTTGTGTCATTGTGTGTTTTTTTACTCCTAATGTCCTTGTTATAGGAACATGTGGGATCCGCAGGCTGCACGGTGTTACGTCAAAATTCCCGTTTTCTATTCGCCGGTGATCCCTTTGGAAATGTAACATTGCGTGATCTGAATTCTCTGCACGTTGAGCACACAATAAAGACCCACACCGGCAGCCTATCAGACTTCGATGTCCAGGGTAATTATTTGATATCGTGTGGCTACAGTGGCCGCCAAGGTACCCTTGCTGTGGATCGATTCCTTATGGTTTATGATTTACGTATGCTGCGTTTGATATCACCCATTCAAGTACTAATTGATCCACAATTGCTGAAATTTTTACCATCACAAACATCACGCTTGGCTGTCGTCTCAAGCTATGGCCAAGTGCAGCTGGTGGATACAGTGGAGCTGAGTGAGCCACGCGTAGCTATGTATCAGATAAATACAACAGGCAATCCCTGTTTGCTGAGTTTCGATGTTAGTTCATCATCACAGGCATTGGCATTTGGCGATCAATCGGGACACATAAGTATTATGACGGCCGTAAATGTACCCCAGCCTCAGTTTAATAGTTTTTCGAGGGAAACTGAGTTTCCAGACCCCCTGCCTCAGTTGCCCATTGTGCCGATTACGGATACCACATTCCCCTTGTCATCGATTGTTTTGCCACATTTAGTCACCGGGTCTCGCTGGTTTTCCGATTGGCCAACCGAGTTGCTGAATTATCAATATCGTCGCCCCAAACCCATCGATGCCGAAATCTTAAATCACATGAAAATGCAAGGTCCCATTGGTTATTCGCCCAATCCCCGGACACAACGACGCAATCAGATACCCTACATCATAGAGAATGCAAGTGGAATAGCTGGCAACGGTAATGGTCTGACAAATACCATTAAATCATCCGATCCCGGTGTTAAGATTATACCTAGACGTTATCGTAAAGTTGAATTGAAATATTCGAAATTGGGAACGCAAGATTTTGATTTTGAACAGCATAATCAGACATGTTTTGCTGGCTTAGAGGCAACACTGCCGAATTCCTATTGCAATGCTATGCTGCAAATTTTGTATTTCATTGAACCGTTACGTCAAAAGCTATTGGAACACAGATGCAGCAAAGAGTTTTGTCTGACATGTGAACTGGGTTTTCTCTTTAATATGTTTGACAAGTGTACCGGTAAGTGGACTAAAAGCCTGGAATGAATATTGTATGGATTATTTGTTTAAATTTGTTATGACAGCTTCAACACCATGTCAGGCCAGTAATTTTTTGCGTTCTTTTCGAACTGTACCGGAGGCATCTGCATTGGGACTTATATTATCGGATCGTTCATCTAATGTTAATCTAATGAATTTAATACAGGTAAATCATATCGTAAAGTGTACACCAACAACAACAAGACGATTGAAAAAGAAGCGTTTTTTGAAAATATTCTTTTGAAAACTACAAAATTCGATTTAGCTAAATAGTTCAAAGCCAATAATTGTTTGAAAAGAAAAAATGTCTGTTGGCGCCCAATCATATGTATAAACTTTTAATATTCCTAAATATCCATGAATTAATAAAAATATTATTTTTCTTTTAGAACTGGAATCGTTTTATATTGCATCAAATGCACTATGAGATTTTAGAGTCTAGCAAAAATGGCCATCTAAGCCATGCAAAATATGGAACAGGAATAGGAACAGCAAATTGTAAGTATTTAATTCGTATTACGAAAAAAATAGAATAATAGTTGCATTTAAATACATTTTAAAAGTAGGTAAAAATTCCGTGGAATTGGTCACCGAGGAAACTGAGGAAATATTTCAGGCAATCGATGTTAAAAATGGTAAGTTGACATATACATATTAAAACAAACGAAATTGCTTACCTAAAGCATTATTATTTAAATTTGACAGATGACACTACAAAGGATGACCAGGATCATGAGGCCCGTAGTAAGGTTAACACCGAAACCGATATCAGTCGCCTTTTTGGCACAAAACAAACAACCGTTAATCGCTGTCTTAAATGTAACGAGGAAAAAACAAAACAGAGTATTCTATTGACATGCAATCTTAGCTATCCACACAACTCCAAAGAAACGGAATACTTTAGTTTTGGCAGCATACTGAAGGGTTCTTTGAGTTCGGAGAAAAGTATTCAGGCATTTTGTGAGAATTGCAAAAAGTTTTCGCCCACAAAACAGATGGTTAAGGTAAATAAAAAATAAGAGACACAATTGCAATAAATTGATGTATTTTTTTGCTTGAATTTAAGGTTACAAGTCTGCCACAAATATTGACCGTCAATTGTGGCTTAAATAATGAAAAAGATTTGGGTTTCTTGAGGCGTCATCTGCAGCGTAACAACTTCAATTTATCGGAGAGTCCAGCCACATTGAATACCAACAAACCCTGTCGTTATGGTATTAATTGTTCACGCAGTGATTGTCATTTCCTACATCCGGATCGTAAATCGCCTTCCATGGCCTCCAATACCACACAGCAGCCGCAGCAACAACAACAACAAAATGTAAACATATCACCAAGTGGAAGGCAAACTTCATGGTTTCCCTTATCGTTTTCAATGTCGCTCAATGATCAGGGTGAATTAGGTGTACAAACGGAGAACAGTAATACAAAGACAACAGTGGTGGAAACAACAGCAGAAGGGAACAACACTAAAGGCAATGGTATATATTTTTGGTTTTTAATATTAAATATTTTTATTTCATTTGTTCATTTGTTTTTATTACAGATGCCCCCTCGGATGTTACTGAATCGTATAGGGAATATGCCTTACATGCTGTGGTATGTCAAATCGATGATGGTACACAGAAAAATTTGGTTTCTTTAATAAATGTTAGCAAAAAATATCACACCATGAAAATGGAGACAATGAATAATTCCGATGAACAGCAACAGTGGTATATTTTCAATGATTTTTGGTAAGTCCACCCACAGGAACAACAAAGACAAAATTGTTCGAGGTTTACACATTCATTGTTCGTATTTCCCCTTTTTAGTATTTCTCCGGTATCAAATCAAGAATCCGTATGGTTTACTTTGGATTGGAAAGTGCCTTGTGTTTTGTTTTACAGCAGTGTCAATTCGGAGAAAAATGAATTATTGGATGGCCTAATCGAAGTACCACACAATGAACCGCAACCGTTGTACAATCCATTCTTGGAGGTATGTACATAGATTATGGGTGGCCCCATGGGGCAGGCAACCAATAAAATCTTCAATATTTGTATTTTTAGGATATTGAAAATGTTGCCCATTCAAATACCACGGCTGGCGATCCATTGTTTAAACCATTACAATCGCATGAAATGCCACAGGCTGGCGATTTAGTTGCCATGGATGCCGAATTTGTTACCTTAAATCCGGAGGAGAATGAGCTGCGTCCAGATGGTAAAACGGCAACAATAAAACCATGTCATATGAGTGTTGCACGTATTTCGTGTATACGCGGGTAAGTAGATCCAATGCCTCGTAAAGCTTATGGATTTGACAAAAATGTGTAATTTTTTTATTCACAGACAAGGTCCCGATGAAGGTGTTCCCTTCATAGATGATTATATTTCGACACAGGAAAAGGTGGCTGATTATCTGACACAATTTTCTGGCATTAAACCCGGAGATTTGGATGCCAATTTTAGTAACAAACGTTTGAATAGCATGAAAAATTCATATCAAAAACTAAAATATTTGGTAGATGTGGGTGTTCTGTTTGTGGGTCATGGTTTGAAAAACGATTTTCGGTAAGTCTAGTCTCTAGTAAACAAATAGCATTCCATTCTAAACAATCTTTTATTTTAGCGTCATCAATATCTTTGTACCCTCGGAACAAATAATCGACACTGTTCATTTATTCCACTTGCCCCACCATCGTATGGTATCATTGAGATTTTTAGCTTGGCATTTCTTGGGCACAAAAATCCAATCAGAAACCCATGATTCCGTAGAAGACGCCCGCACAACATTGCAACTGTACAAACACTATTTGCAGTTGCAGGCGGAAAAGAAATTCCTGGCAGCACTTAAGAACCTCTATGATCGTGGCAAACAACTGCAATGGAAAGTACCGGAAGACTAGAAGGCGAGCAACAAGTAATAACAAGGAGAAGCATTTAATTTAATTTTAGTACATTGGAAAGGAATCCCGTCGTAAAAGAAAGAAAACAACTTTTTAAAAAACAAAAACAAACAAAGTACAAAATGACACTCAACTGAACCGTACCGCGAGAGCAACAAAATTGTTATTCCATTTTAAATGACATTTCGGCACATTATTACAAAAACAAAACAAACATTTTTCTATAACAGACTTTTACACAACAAAAAAGAAAAAACAATCTATTATTGTATTTTGTTTATCTTTCGTCTCAGACACACAAATAATAATGTCCGAATAAAAACAAACAATAAGAATGTGGTCAAATTTATATTACAAAAAAAGAAAAAATAATAAAAACAAAACGCATACATACATATATTTATTCATTAAAAAAAGTGTAAATCAATGGACATCAAAAAGAAACAAAAAATTAAGAAAAAATACATTTAAAATCAAAGAAAACATAATCCATATTCAGATCAGTGCATTTCATTTCAATAATTTCGTAAGGATGGAAAAAAAGGAAGCTAGAAAAAATGGGATCAATGGGAATTCTATGTTTTTTTTTGTTTTATTGGTTTTTTTATTTCACTTCTTCTTACAAAACGCAGTTTTGAACATACAATGTGGTTTGATCAACACGATCCACACGGGCTCGATGTAAACAACAACAAAAATAATGCATTTTTTATTTCATGTTTACATCCAAATTTTATTCAAAGCTAAACTCCTCGTGAGGGAGGGCAGTGTAGCCGCTTCCACCGCCGCTGCCTTATATATTGTCATAGTCTTCGTCAAGTTCCAGACAGGAACTGTTGCTATTTACCGTTGCGGTAGTAGTCATGGTTGAAGCAGCAGCTGCAGCAACAGCAGCGATTTGTGCCGGCTTTGCTGTTGAGGAATCGAATGGCTCCGCCATTACAGTTTTGGAATTACGAGATTGTTGTTTAGAGGTACCGATACTTATGGTGGCCACCGGTGGCGTCGATGTTTTGGGCCTGGCGGTGGCATCAACTGTTGTCGCAACAATATTTGAGAGGTCAATATTGATAACTGGTTCTGCTGTAAAATTGAACGCGCTAGCATTCGTTGTCATACTTGCAATATTAGCTGGGGCACTCAGGGGCGTCGGTGCGGATGCCACATCTGTGGTTATTTGTGGCAAATTGCTATAGTCTATTTTCACCACGGGCTTATTGCAGTAGTCGATGCTAACAATTGGTGCGGGTATGGCAGTCTGTTTTGGGGGCGGCCGTATTGGTTGGGGAGTGTTATTTGGTTTGTTGTTGTTATTGTTGCTCGAGACGCAATTAGACGGCATTGAGAATGATTGATGTTTCAGTCGTGGATGTGACGCTGGCGTCAGTGTGGGTGTCTGTTGTAGTTGTGGTGGATGAGGAGGAACTGGTGTCGATTCGGAACGTGCTAGCTTTGGGGGCAAACATTCTGTCGAACTGTAACCGCCTACTCCAACTCCGGCATTTGCCAACGATGTGGTATGCATAATAACGGAATTGGCATTTGAACTCACTGATCTTTTCAAATGGTTTCGGGGATGATGATCATGGCCACCATTTTGGCCATTTGTTGCCATCGCCGAATGCTGACGAGTCACCGTCGAACTCCTTACCGTCGATGTAGATGGCATACTCAGATCATAGGGTGTATCCGAATCGGCATATGGTTCATCTGGCGAACTGTGATTATCATCCTCGATGTAATTCGCTGCCTCTTCTGCTACACTGATGTCTGGTATATTCCTTACCAGTTCGCGTAGAAAATCGAAGCGCTGTTCCGACATGATGCACTGTTTCATGTGTGATGTTGACAATGTCTTGGAATTACGAGAATTTGTAATCTTTAAAGACTTTGTTAAAAGCGATTCGACAAAGAGCTCCAATGTCCTAGGTAAACAAATGAAAAATCAAATTGAGCCAAATAACAGCCCACACAAGTGCATAGTTAAGGAAATCATTTTTTTAAAATAAAATATAATTAAAGAAATTAAAAAAAGTTATTGTTTTGAAAAGGATATAGATTATAATTGGTACAGCTTGCGCCACTTTGCCCACTTCTTCGTCGCTTTGCATGATTTTTTTGATACGTCCCTAGAAAACAAAACAAATATTTGCTATTAATATATTATAGTTCACATTGTCGATTTTTACAGCATTCATTTTGCACATCACTGTAAGTTCTGAAATTCCCGTGCCAATTTCCTTGTCATCCATCCCTTAAAAACAACATCCCATTTGGCTTGGCTTTTGTTTGTTTTACTAATGTTTGTGTCGTCCCCGCTACACACAACACCAAAAACAAAACTTACCACTGGAAAACGCGCATTGTATTTCTTCTTTTTGGATGGCATTTGTAATGTGTTTTGTTGTTGTTGTACTCCCAATAACGATATGCAATAATTAAATGCAGTTCCAAAGCTTCCAAATTGCCAGTGTTGGCTTCTGATTGTTTCCGCACCTCCTTCGCGTGTTTTTTCTTCCTTCTGTGACAGTTGCAAAAGATTCTTCTTCTTACTCTAGAAGTTTTGTTCTAGGCTTGCATTTTCCTCAATCGGACGCATAGGCAATCTAAATTCGATATTTGGTTATTGGCCAGTGTAATTTTGATATCCAATTTATGTTTGTTTGTATTATTTATTTCGGTTATTTCAATATTATTTATTTATTCTAAAAAAAGTAAATTTATGCGGAATTCCAATTCTCTATGAACTGACAGACTGACAGATACTCTTTTTCGCTAGTATGCGTGGCGTCTTGAATGAGCACGCAACGTAAATGGTCAGCTGTCATAATTGCAGCAGACGCTCGAGTAAAGCGTATGACGTATACTGTATTATGAGGTTATTTGTTTTAAATATATAAATTTATTTTCTAAAAAAAGTGTTTCATCTTTTAAATATATTAATTTTAATAATAATATAGGTATTATTATTTGTTTTAAATATATATATTTTTTTTAATTTCTGTTTTAAAAATATATTAGCTTAAATAATAATTATTATATTGTATCAACTAAAACATCATGTGTGTTAGTATGTTTAGATTTATGAAATTCACTGGTTCTCAAATCCAAAATGTTTAGCAAATAAGTCAAATAAAATCCGATGGATTTCGTTTACAAAGCGGGTTTATTATTTCCTACTTAGTGAATGAATGAATAAATCTTTATCGAGCAATATATGAATTTCCAAAATATCAAAATCTTTCAAAAATACCCAGATTTTAATTCGAATATTAAAAAATAATAATTATTTAGCCCATTGTGGTTAATTAAACCACTTTCTGACTGAACTGACAATAGTTCCAAAAGTTAATTTCACTGAATTCGCTCAATTGAACTCGTTCGTTGCTGAACCACCGACACAACTCTACTGCTGCGGAACTGCAGGCAGACTTATGTCATATAATACCAAAAAAGATCCTTGCAAAGCAAACGCTTGTAGAATACAAGCTTGTTTGAAAGGTAATTTTTGCACGATTTGGCACGTTTTTGTTTGTTTTGTTGTATTATATAAGTAAAAAATAATTGTTTTATTTTAGAAAATAACTACCAAGAAGAAAAGTGTAAGGAGGTGTTGGAACAAATGCGCATTTGCTGTCTGAAGTGGCACAAAACTTCGTTGTGTTGCTCTGGTATTGATTTAAACCGTTCATATTTACCCGAAGAGGAGGAACATCCAAAGAAAGAAAAGCAGTTGTCATAACTCTTTAGAGGTTTGTATCAAATTCTCAACTTACCGGCCAAATTTCCTAAGGGGGATGTTTTGGAAACGTGGGAACCCATGTGTGCTTGTATTAGTCAGTCTATAGATGCCGGTGCGAAAAAAATACACTTTATTTGGTTCGTTGGGGATGGTTTTTTTTAGCATTATTTGCGGTGTGGTGGTGGGTAGATTGTGTTTTGTTTTGAAACTAGGAATTACAGAAACTGATACGTAGATTTGGCCTATATATTTAGGCACAAACCGTACACTATTGATAATCTTCATATCAACCAAATATTGTTAATCTATTTAATATTTTATCTCTATAAAATACTGCTGTTTAAAAACGAACCACTGTAAACCCCAATGTCCGACTGTGGGGGCAGACAAATAAGTTGCTGTTGAAGTTATTCTGAGAATTATCTGGGAGCTAATATAGAGAATTAATGATGCACTGAGGAAAGACAGACATTTATCTTTTCTTGTAGCTTATGTTGATATGTTTAGTATTAAATGTATGTTTTATAGTTATCAAAGACTTATCTTCATTACGTTATTCTTTACTCATAGTAACAAAAATATTTGTTTTTCTTACAGAAAATAATGCAAACGCCGCCATACAAACCGCCCAAAGAATTGCAAGACATTCTAAATCAACAAGCTTCGCAAAGGAAACGTACAGCTCAGTTGCCAAAACGAAATTGGATTCAACGGAATCCTCGTGCCTTTCAGTTAACTTTCATTGCTGGATCATTGCTCGTGCTGTTCTCTCGGCCACTGTACGATATCTTTTTTGAGACATCATTTCCGGCCCCCGATTCAATTGTATTTGAAAAACGTCAAAAGTAATGGAATCGGTGCGTAAGGCGAAACAACGTTTACGCAACTATCCAATATTATTAGGAAAATGTGCCGAATCGGCAACAGTTTATGCAGCTTGTGTGACCAGGGATTTGAATGTTCAACACAAAACCTGCGACAAAGAGTTTCAATTGTTTAAAGATTGTTTAAAAACTGCTGCCAAAGAAATGAAAACAAAATTATAAATCATAAAAAAACGCAAAAAACGAGAGAATTTTTCCAGAGAGCGAACAAAATAAACCGGAAGGGATCAATCACATTTTTTTACAAATAGTAGTAATACATAGATCAAAACAATGACTGACCAACAACAAACAAGAAAGATGGGAGGCATTTTAGCGCTGTGTCACAACATCAAAGATCGTTTACTAACCATTACATTCCGTTCACATATCATATTGTCCATACTAATACGCATTTGTCTAATTATCTATGGCCAGTTTATGGATAAATATTCCGAGGTACCATATACGGATATCGATTACATTGTGGTCACCGATGGAGCCAGACAAATGCTGAGGGGCAACAGTCCTTTTCGACGCCACACCTACCGCTATAGTCCCATATTGGCCTTTATGCAAATACCCAATGTTGTGGTGTACCATGAAATGGGTAAATTTATATACTCCTGCTTTGACATTCTGGTCGCCCTGCTAATCTACATTATAGTACGCAATGAGCTACAATCACAATGCAATAAGGCTGTGAAATATCTGTTAACTAAGTACGGACGAGGGTCACAATTTTCTTCGAAATTGAATTACGGCGATTCGGATTCACGAAATAGCCCAGAGAAAATTGCCAAAGCGTCGGCCTGTTTTTGGCTTTACAATCCATTGACTGCTGTCATTTCCACCCGAGGAAATGGTGACAGTTTTTCGAGCTTTTTTGTTATATTTACCCTCTATTTGATTATCAAATCCGATGACTGTAGCAATAGTGTTAAGAAACGTAATTGGTTGATATTTACAGCGGGTCTGATACATGGCTTTGCCATACATTTACGTTTGTATCCTTTATTATTTAGTTTAGCTTACTTTTTGACATTGTCCAGTAGATTGGTGAAATCGTTTAAAGATTTTATGCGCGTAGTTCTATTTCCCAATTTACAACAGCTGATATTAATAGGTGGAACCTTGATGAGCCTAATACTTGTAACGGGTTTCTTTTATAGACTCTACGGCTGGCAATATATTTATGAAGCTTATTTGTATCATTTTGTACGCAAAGATATACGCCATAATTTCTCTTTATATTTCCTAATGCAATATTTGGGTAGTGATAGCAGCCATGGTGTCGGGGGCTTACAAAAACTACTTATTTTGGCACCTCAACTTATTATAATCATATATTTAAGCATAGGTTTCGGACAATTTCGTCAGACGTTACCATTTTGTATATTCACCATTGCCTATACAATGGTAACATTCAATAGCGTAGTAACATCACAATATTTCATTTGGTATCTGGCCTTACTGCCACTTTGTATTAATAATTTCCAATCGATGTCACTGCGACAATGCTGTGGGTATTTTGGAATGTGGTTATTGTTTCAGGGTCTGTGGTTATTACCCGCCTACTTGTTAGAGTTTAAATCGTGGAATACCTTCTATTGGATAGGCATACAGGGTGGTCTCTTTTTTATTGTTAATAATTTTATTTTGTCGCGTTTAATAGAGAATTATAGCTTTACACCGTTTAAGATAAACATTAAGAAACTTTTCTAAAAAAAAAAAAATAAATGAAAGATGACACACAAGTTATAAGCAAAGTAAATGAAGTAATAGAAGTAAAAAAACTACTAGCATTCAATCTTGACCATAAATAACTATACTAAAAAATAGAAACAAAACAAATATTAAACAAATGTATTATATTTCTTCCCAAAAAACAACAATTTTTTTATAATGAAATAAATTCAGTAGAAACCATAAAGCAATAATAATTCAACAAAAAAGGCAATAATAAATACAAATTTCTATACAAAAATACTTCATATACAGCCTTATTTTGGATATTCGCTAGGTAGAGATCTCGTTTGTGAAACATTTTTCGCTTTCACATTCTTTCACAATGAATAGGGAGAAGCTGAAAATGTGGATTCGAATTTTTATATTGTATTTATATTGTATGCGATATTTTATGTCCCAAATTCTTCAAAAGTGGCCAATTATTTTATGATATGCTTCTCTTCCTTAAAAACGTCCTTCAAATCATGCTCACGATAAATTTGAAAGAAAAATATGATTGTTCTCTTAAAATTTTTATTTGAGTTTTCAACTTTTAGGCGGCTCATCAGGCAAATTTGGCTATGTGGTTTTTCCACAATTTTTAATATATTTTTCTGGAGAGGCAGATCCTCACACAAAATATCTTTGCACCGTCTTAAATATTCCTTGTTTGAGCATGCATCGTTATCAAAAGGATTTCCAATGACATATTATTTGTTCTGTTTTGAGTTAAAAAATATGCATATAACAATTTATAATATTTAAAATCGTCATGGAATAAGTATTGTGTAGATATTTTTAATAAAAGTATTACTTATGCTTTTGTAGTCAGATCCCATAAAATTTATTTGCGAAAAATTTCCCACAAAATGTCATCACATTCTCCCACTCCACGTAATCCAGAATAACTAGTTTTTCCCCAAAGCGGATTTTTTCGCTTTCGAACATGAATCAGAATAAGGGGAAAGTGAAAATGCGAAAAAAATCGCTGCCAGTCAGTTCTGCTTCAGAATAACTAAAATTTAAAAAATTATACCTTACCGCCCACTGTAACGCCAAAAATAATTTGTTAATAATCTTTAAACATAAACCGACATATTTATTGACATATTTCATTATCTTGAGGCGTACGTATGGTATATTTGTGTGTATTTTACCATTCGGCAAGAGGAAGGGGACGAGATACGACAATGGCTCTCAGATAAGTGAATAGAGTACCAATGGGACCGGTACTCATTTCAGTTTTTTTTTTTTGCAATTTTTGCAATAACAAAAAAGGTGTATGAAGAGTATGATAACAAAAATAAAAATTACAGTATGGTTCCTTTAACAGCTACTACTGAACCCCTACAATTTATTTTCCATTTTTCCATATTAAAGTTTTAGTCATGCCTCATGATTTTCACTGACAATTGTAACCAAATAATATGTACATTTTATTTACAAAATGGTGAAAAGAAGCAAAAAATATTGTGGTAAACAATTCTGGTGAAAATTCGCTTATTCGGAATTAGCTGTGCAATGTAGCGCTTGATGAGTGAATGCATCAGCTGTGTGCTCTGCGCTATCTGTATCTTGTAGTTTCATTTGGCCGTTTTTCTTTATTTTCATATTTTTTTTCGAATTCGCTTTTAGTAGCCTTTATGTTTTTACCATAACATCACTCCCTCCCACCGATTGTTAGATATACTCGATTAACAAAACAATAATTTTATTTTGTTTAGTAAAAATAAGTGAGGAATAGAAAACATGAATATTGTTGATCAATTCCTTCGTAACAATTATATTTTGGCCATTTGTGAGGATGCAATCTGCAAGAAATCATTTACTCTTCATCTGTCGCATTTTAAAATGTCGGAAGTACCGGATTTAGTGGAGAAATGTGAAATATTATTGAAATTGTTTTTGAATCGTAATCAATTGACCAGGGTAGGTTGCAGCATGTCAAGATAACAAAATATTAAAAGCCAAACATTCTCTTTAGCTGCCATCGTTTTTAACGAAATTCACCAGCCTACAAATACTAACATTGGACTATAACCAACTGAATGAATTTCCTCTGGTGCTGTGTCAACTGATCAGTTTAAAATCTCTAAATATTAGTTGTAATTCCATAACAAAATTACCGCGAGAAATTTGCCAGCTAACACAATTGGAAACATTTTGGTGCAACAACACTGGCCTGTTGGAATTGCCCGAGGAGTTGGGAAATTGTGATCGTTTGGAGACATTGGGTGCCAGAGGAAATCAACTGCAAACACTACCCGCAACTATGTGCCGCCTAAAGAGACTACGTTGGCTAACATTGGAAAATAATCGACTAACAGTGATACCCGACACCTTGGGCGAACTGACGAATTTGATACATTTAAATTTGAAATCGAATCGGTTAACGCACATACCCAATTGTTTGTCGCAGCAAAAGAAATTGCAATATGTCTTCTTAAATTGTAATTGCATAGCGACATATTCCTCGGAAGATCTACTAAAATCTTTGAGCCATATACGTATGCTTAATATCTGTGATAATCCCGTGTGTGATGTACCAACATTGCAGGAGAAGTTAAAGGTAAGACGAAACCATACATGCATTCCAATAAGCAAATGTTATTGTGATTTCAGGAACATTATAATATATTCTGCGATAATAGTCAAGAAGATGATGTGACCGGTAGCGATACGGTAAATGTCGAAAATGATGTGGATGATGACAATGGGGAATATCAAAGCGATTGGGAAAATTCTATAGAAACAAGTGACATCGATTCCACCGATTCAAGTAGTACAGAAAATAATTTAGAGGTATCCTTCTTCTCATCATTAATTTTTTGTTTGCTAATATATTCGCCATATTTTGTTTTTTCTTTCAGGATATTTCAATACTTATACCGGAACTATCACGTTATATTACAAATTTCAGTTAAATCCCATAACTTGTTTCTGTGTGTGTGGGGGGGGATTTTAAAAACTGTTTATTTCAATGCAACCAAATTGGGAGGCTATAACAAATTAAAGTAACCATGAAATTAAAGCAAATATTGCTATATATGTAGTACATAAATAAATGTATGTCTGTCACAAATCTTCCGAATAAATTATGAAGACATTTTCTTCATAAGATCCTCATCCTGCATGGACATGGCGGTTAATTTTTTGCCAATTTTCTCATGAATATCAAGATATTTGGCAACACAGCGATCAATGCAAACCATTTCTCCTTTACCTGAAACGAAAAAAAAGAAACAACAATAAAAACAATTTGTTTATATTTTTCACCCCGAATTTAAGGTTTTGTCTGCACAACTCAACTCACCCAATTCCGCTTCTCCATAACGTGGTGGTATACATTTTTTGTGACAAGCATTTGTCATGCGATTATATAAATCGGACATCATTTCAATTTCCATTTCTTGCATCATTTGCAATTTAGCCTGTTCGGCGGGACTCAAGTTCATCTGGGGCATAGCCATTGTAAAAAATTAAGCACGTGTAATTCTTGTTTCTAACGTTCCAAAATTAATCGAATAATTATTTATTCAAAATAGCGTTGTAGTATTGTGGTTGATTGCCTGCCAATTAAGCGTTAAAACGTCGGGTGCCAACTGATTCGTATTCTCCAAGATTTGCTTTTTTCATGCGATCACGAATTTGCATGTCCTCGTAACGACGTTTTTCCACAGATTCTTTGGAGAGCACAAACGAATAGACGCCAACAGCAGTTAAAATAGTCCTGTGTGTGTGTGTGCGAGTAAATAAAATAACAAGTTAATTGTGTTAGTTAAAATTTCGTTTAATTAAGGCCGGGAAATGTTGTAACATCTTACCAACCAACAGCAATTCTTCCAAAATTACCCAAAGACATTACTCCCGTTCAATTTTTGTTCCTATTACAATGAACAAGTGTCAGCTGTTATGACATAACCTCTCTTTGCCGTAATATGAGAGTGCACTAATAGAGTAATGTTATTTAAATGAAAGCGATGGCGTAAAGCGAAAAAATTGAAAAAATTGCAAATTGTTTCAAAAATATAAATAAATTCTTTTTTTCACAAAATACTCACATATGTGTTAACTAATTTATTAATTCTCTGAGATTGTTTTCTTATTGGAAAATTGAATTATTATCATATGACAGCTAGAGTACGGTACACATCATGGTGTAATAACACAGGGTAGACTAAAACAGTTTCCTTTATTGAGGTTTGTTATGTCAAGGCTTTGTATACAAAATTTCTGATTGTGTGTGGGAGTTTAAAAATAACTAAAATATTTAAAAACTCCGTTGTTTTAGTTGAAAAAGGCCTGAAATTTAATTAAAAATAAAATAAATACAAAATGAAGTAAATAAATAAAATAAAAAATTTCAGCATTTCAGAAAAAATATATAATGGAAAGGTGATAGTATCCAATTTTACTAGAGGTCAGGTAAATTATAAATAATATTTCTATCAAATTAAATTCATAGTTTCATTCCAGCTTTCCATCTTGAAGTCGACTTCTACCACGTGTTAACACGACAGGAATCTCTTGCTGATATTTCCGGAAGCAATATCTACAAGAAAATTAATTGGTTCACGACAAAAATTAAAAAAAAAAAAATATTTGGACCCAAACATATACGAATGTTTCAACTACTGTTTTCAACTGCCTTTCTTTCCAGGCAAACCACTCATTAAAATATGACTGGAACAAAACTAGAAAATTTTCTTAAAAATGTTCTTTATTTTCATTTATTCATTTTTTCAAATAATAACAATTTAATATGTATATCAAAAAATAACCAAAAATATAGAAAAATATAGAATTTATAACAATATAATGGAATGTATAAATTAAAAACAATATGATAATACTTCTACATTACATTTTTTTAAACAAAAAACAAAAAAGACTAAAAAATAACGAAGATAGATATATGTATTAGCCAATTTCAGGGGATAATAGAGATCAGGTAAATGAGGAGGGAGAGAAAATATATATGTTTGCATGTATGGTTAGGTTTTATGATCGATGATGATGTTAAAGCTTTTATCAAATGAGATTCAACGTTATTAACTAGGCGGTATGGAAAAGGCTCTCTGACCACGACCATGATCGGGTTTCGAGCCAAACCAACTCATTTTCCAATTTAGTGTATCGTGTAAAAGTTTTTCTTCTTCCTTTGTTAGTTTAAGTAGCGTGGCAACAGCTCTTATCAAATGGCGGGCTTCAACCTGTAATATCAATGAAAAATTGAAACTCTTAATATAACTTCGATTCGATTTTCGTTTGCTTTCGGTCGTACCTCTCGGCTTGTTAGAAACTTAACTATAACATGTTTTAAATATTTGAAATTAACTTCATCCATTACAACACTACCACCTGCAGCGGTAGCTGGATCTAAGGAAATGCAGTTGGGACAACGTTGATTGCCATCCTTGCGGCCATCATTTGAGGACTCTTCACTACCGCCGGCCACAACTTTGGCGGAAGCAAATTCTTTCTGCAATGTTTTTTTCAAGTCATTCACTCTCTGGTTTAGAACTTTAATGGTCTGTGGAATATAATTATTTAGCAGTTAATAATTTTTGAATTTTTTAACAATTTCCCACCTTATTCTTTTCCATTATATCCCTTTGCATTTCATCCAATTCCTTTAGTTTCTTATCATTAGAGGAAAGTTTATTTTGCAATTCTTGTATACTTTGTTCTTTGGATTTCAGTTGGGATTCCAAATTCTTATTTTGTTCGTGTATATCGTTTACTTCGTCTCGTTCCTGTCGCAGTTCCTTCTTTAGCAACTCTTCGCTCTGGGAAATTTCGGCATTTTTTAACAGCGCTGTTAGTTTTTCTTCTTTTTCGGTTTCCAACATCATTTGGGTTTCTGTTATCTGGGCTTGTAAATCGCCTATTTGTTGCCGCAGCGATTGTGTAACATTTGCTGAATTGGCTGCATATTCGCCGAAACGTTCATCAGCTGCCTCTAGCCGATTTTGTAACTCTTTATTTTGTAATTCTAACGATTCCTGTTTCAAGAGATATTGCAATAATTCAAATATAACAAAAATAGTAGGGGAAGTGGGACAGTAAGTATAACAAACAAAAATAGTTGCGTTCGATCAAAACAATAATAAAACATTTTATTAAACATAAAAAACATAACATAAATAAAAACAAAACAAAATTTTGTGTTTAGGTATATGCAAACTTAAGGCATACAGATTTTGTCTTTGGATTTTCTATTTTCTTTGGTGTTTAAGGTTAAGTTAAGCTACTTTCGATAAAATACATATTAAGCGTGCCAGTTGTGTAATTTTTTTTTTGCTGTTGGTGTTAGTCACATATCATCCCAGGATAAATCATCACCCTGCGGTGACATACTTACAACTTTACTGCGTTCGAATAGTATCTGTTGTTCGTTTTCTTCACGACATTCCTTTAAGGCGGCATTCAGTTCATCAATCTCCTCTTCCAGAAGTTTTATCTGCAATATGAAATGATGTTGAATTTCAAATAGAATGGGAAAAGGAATTTAGTATTACCTTATCATCCCTTTGTTTTATTTCCTCCGTACTTTTAAGTAATTCGAATTCCAAATGTTTGACCCGTTCAATGAGGTCATCTTTTTGTTTAAGGATTTTACGTTTTTCGGTGGTTTCCTCGGCCACTTGTTTGGACAAACGGCTAACTTGCGTTTCCAGGGCCAAATTTTGACCCATCCATGAACTTTTGATGTCGGACAATTGTAGATGGGCTTCTTCGAGACGTTGTTCGAGGTGTTTACGTTCCTGTATTAGAGTTTGTAGCTTTTCATCTGAGCCCAGTGAGCCCAGAGCTTCCAAGCGAGTCTGTTCGACAATTTGTAGACGCATTTTTAGATGCCTATTCTCCTCCTCGATGGCCGCCAATGTGATGGTAAGATTATTTTTCTCTTGTTGTGATGAATGCATTAGTTGTTGTAACTCATCCTAATGGAAGAATATATTTTTGAGTACTTGTGTTTTGTAATTAAATACTCCAACTGAAGGCTCACTCACCTTAATTTCCTCCAATTGGGGTTCACAGTGTTTAAGTCTTTCCAATTCGGAGGTTAAATTTTCCACTTGCTGTTGATGTTGCCGCATAGCATTCAGACGATCGACTGCCTCCTGTTCGCGAAATGACAACAAATTGCGCAGTTTATCGATTTCACTCTGTTGCATGTTTTGTATCTTCTCCTGCTCCTCACAGTAAATATCCTTTTGTGTTTGGGCTACCTTGACGGTTTCCAAGAGGATTTCATTTGTCTTCTCAACCCTTAGTTTTTCCTCTTGCAAATGTTGTAGGCGTGTCTGATAGTTGGCAATTTCTTGTCGTAGTGCCGAAATCTGTTCATTCTTTGCAGATAACAAAAAGAGATAATTGTATAAGGCCAACAAACGAAAAACCCCCAAAAGCTACATACCTGCGTATCGTCATTGGATGTTATGCTCATAGAAGAGGAAACACGACTTTTTAGGCGATTGTTATTGTTCGTTGCGTTGGAATGAATCATCGAACGCTGATGTGGCGTTATGCCAGGAGTCAATCCTGTGTTACACACTACCTCGGAACCAGTTTCCTCCTTTATCTTGTTCTTCAGCGAAGCAAACATTTTTGTGTGTTTTGTTGTTCTCGGCCCTCCCTCTATAGGATGATTGAATAAATGAAGAAGAATTGCACAAATTTACACCAACACCAGAACTTTACAGAAAAAGTCTTATGCCATGGCCCAAGAATGCTATATAATCGACTAGAAATTGCTATTTCAAAATACTGCCTTAATGGTAAAGTTAATTTGCTTTAGGTATTTTTCGGCATGGTTTATTTTCTTATCAGAATTTTATGTAAATTAAGTTTTTTCCTTCTTTATTTATCAAACTGTGTGTTCACGCAGCAGTAGGGTAGTGGTGTATGTTCAGTTAAGTGGTTGATTTTGTTGCCGTTGAGTGTTTTGTGAACGGCGTCGTATGTTATCAAACAATTGTGAATGCTTTCTCTACGTCTTCTTGTTGTTGTTTGTTTATGTTTTTTTGGTTGCATTTTTAATGTTATTTATTATTATTTGTAACGCTTTTTATAGCACTATTAACAAAAGAATAATATACATATATGGTGAAGTGCCTTATATCAATATATTTTCCGATAACATCATTTGGATTATTTGCTACCTCATGATGTGACCGTTATCATTCAAACTGTGTCTACACCTTGTCCCTGTTTCCTTTTCTACAAATCAAGAAATGTTTTATTGTTATTCCTCACATTGCATTCGTAAATAATAGCTTTCGGTTATTCGGCTTTTGTCTTTCCCCCTTCTTCGTAGCTTGTGGAACATTTTAAAATTTGGTCGACTTGCGGTATCTCTAATCGGCAATTCTCCACATGCCTCTCTTTCTCAACAATACGTTTGTTATGCTTCCACTTTGTGTTATTTCTTTTTCTGACATTTTTCTGTACCTCATATTCGTAGCTTTGGCGCTAAAGAGGGCATCACATTAAAGACTTCAATTTGATTGAATTCATTTCAATTTCAATTTTTTTTTGTTGAAAAGGTGAGTAGCAACCCAAAAAGGACGAGCAAAGTCGGAAGGGTCCCACTTTGAGACATTATTAAACTTTGGCTATTCGCAAGCGTTGCTTCTTGATTAAGTTAGAATCCGAAATGTGCAGAATTTTACAACAAAAACTTCAATAATGTTTATTTTTTTTTGTATAATTTCAGTTTTTCTTTTTGTCTGTGAATTTCGTTTTGTGTTGTCTGTTTTTGTTTGAAACAAAATGAGTTGCGATTCAACTGCGGGTGCTGGCGCCGCCGATTCTGGTATGGTGGACAATAAGGAAGCTTTGTCTCGATCAATTTTAGATTCCACCGATCTAATTGACAATATGACAAGCTTTTTGGAAGCCGGCGCCGTTGATGTTGATAAGAAAATTCTACGAAATATGGCTTTGGCACTGACCAAACATTTAAATGAGTAAGTATAGCATCAAAATTATGAAAGTAATAAAATAAATTAATTGTAATTTTAAATATATTTATTAGTTAGAAAAAAGGAGAATATTTAAGGAAAATATATCAGGAAAATTAAATAACATTTTTTGAGGACCTATCAAGACGTAGAAATGTTACGAAATATTTTTGCAAGGATACAAAATAAAAGATGTTATGAAATGATCCAAATAGGCGTAGCTGGTTTAGAAAATATGTTGTCAAGGCCGTTACTAATGTTTTGAATTATGTCTGCAAAACGATTGATGAATAAAGTTATTGTGTTGCTGGCAGTTTTTATGATTTGTCCAGGGCTTTCGATATGATTGACCATAACATTTTACTGCAGAAGTTGCGATTCTATGGAATGAATGATACCAGTATATTGCTTTTGAAATTTTATTTAGGAAATGATAAATAATTTGTGGTTCAATGCAGGTTCAATATGGTGTACCGCAAGGAAGCATTTTGGGTCCAATATTTTTGTAATATACATCAATGATCTAAATTGTCGTTTGTTAATGTATGCTGATGATATTTGTATGTTTTTATCCGTATAAATCAGAGACGGTCGTTAAATGTTCGATGGAAAGAGATGCTGCTCTCATTCTTGAATGCATGTGGCTCAATAATGGGACATAAATGATAGAAAAATAAAGCTGATCCGGAAATTTTGAACTTCAATATTAATATAGGCTTGTACGGGAAGTGCATGAAATAATGTATCTTGGCCTGCTATTACAATCAAATTTTTCTTGGGATAAACACATAAGCCATTTGAAAAATAGACCGGCACTTGGTCTACTTTATAAATTCAAATACAAATTTAATCAAGAAACTAAATATCATAAATTACATGGCTATAATATATGTTCATAAAAACAATGTTAACCCCATATCCTTGCAACGTTTACAAAGTAGAGCTTTAAAACTAGTCGCAAACCTGCCAATTTTACACTCAACACTAAGTCTTTTTGAAAATACATTTAAATCGTTATTACCTTTACAAATATCAAATTGATTTATGTTTTTAAATGTTTAAATAATTGGTCTGTTCTTGTACTGCAAGAATCTACGAGGTTTTAATATTTTTTCCGATATCTGAAAAGCTATTGATATATAAGCTATTGTTTCAATATATACCTACACCTATGTATAATTTGCTAAGTCTTTTAATGCCCATTGACGCTGAGGCGCATTGTAACTTGATTATAGGTATATATGAAATATAAAAAAATATAACTTTGGTCCAAAATTAATTTATCTTAGGATTTTTCATACCATCAAATCCCATGAACCATATTGAATTTCTATGATATGATTCAGTAACGCAGCTCTCTACCTGTTATCAACATTCATTCTCAACATTAATATAAACTTTGGTCCAAAACTATTCTATCTTAGGATTTTTCATACTATAATATCCCATTAACCATATAGGTATATTTGTATTGTTAAATTTGATTTTTTCGATTTGTATATAGCACTAACACACTTTACAGACTCTAAGTTGTTTGTTTCTTTGATTTTTTGCACGTTTACTTTGGCAAAAATCCAAATTAATTTATTTTTATCTCTTTTTGTGTTGAGTGTTGTGTTGTCTGTCTACCTTTTGAAACAGTGAAAAAGTGAGACTAATGTCACAAATGTGCCCAATACTAATACAATTGGCACACAAGAGTCGCCGATGTTTTTTTTCGGTTGAATATACTATGGTGACAAAGTGACGCCGTGGATCATATATAAAAATAAATTATCAATTACTACTTCTTAAAAAATATTTTATTATATTTTTATTTTTCAAATAATGATTTGATTTGATGGTAAGATTTTAACCACAATATTAGAAATATTAAAAAAAACTAGAGAACACACAGGTATTCTTAACAAGTATCTTTTTATTATATTTTTTAACTTTATTATAAACAAAATATATTTTTTCTCTATTTCATTAAACACATGTATGTCTATTTTCTGATACACTGTACATTTGTAATTTATATATATATATATCGTATCTTATATACTTACCTCATTGATTGTAGAACAAAAAATACTATAATGAAATCAAAAACAAGATTAAGAAAAAGAGGCCAACGAACCGCCATTAACATCATCCAATATTCGTCACCATCTCATTCACATATACAAAATTTTATTTTTTTATAACAATACGCACATCTATGTGACATAATTTTATTATTTAAAGGAAGGTATGGCATCCACCAGTTTTTTAATTAAATTTTTCCTTTTAAATAATAGCTTAGCATTTTTAAAGTTCTAGTTGAGTTAAGATGTTCTAGTAACATTTATTATTAAATTTACATTTACATTTTTATTATTAAATTTTTTAATATTTTTTGCATTGAATTTTCTAAAACATTTGGAATATCAGCCAATAAGTGTAGCAAATGGAAGCTGTTCTCAATTAAAAGGAAAAGGTGTATGCAAAATAAGAACGAATTCAGCTATTCTAAATATTACTGAGGTTTATTTTGCACCTGACTTTAATTCCAACTTGCTATAAGTTAGAAAGATTACTAAGAAAGGGTATAAAGTCAGTTTTTCTGAAAATGAATGTGTAATAGAGAAAGATTCTAAAATCATTTGTAAAACAGTCCTTAAGTGTGGTTTATACGTTCTAAATTCTAATTCTGAAAAAGGTCTTTCCGTTGTTGATTGTAATAAAGGTTGTATACACTATTGTCATCGTATCCTTGATCATCATAATGAAGCGGATATTAGAAAATTAAAGAGAGAAGATTTAATTGAAGAAATACGAATTGGTGTTTGCAGTAAACTTGCTGAAACTTGCGAGGTGTGTTTCCAAGGCAAAAGGAATTGGTCCCAAGGAAAGTTTTAGTCGATCGAAAAGCTTTTTTCATTTAATTCATACTGCCCTGCGACGTATAGTGGTTATAAGTATTTCATAACTCTTATAGATGTCTATATATGACAAAATAATCGAGTTTTGGAATACAGTACGGAATCAGATAGATAATTTTCCAAAGGCAATTAGATCAGATAGAGGAGGGAAGTATGTAAACTAAAAACTAATGATGTTCTTGAGCACTTGTGGAACAGAAATTCAATATACAGTTCCATACCTGAAGAACACCCTGAAGAACAGAGACAAGAAATCGAGGTTATATTGCGGATTCCAATGAATATTTTGAAGATGCCATACAAAGTCCAATTCCAGCAAGGAGAATATCTACTCGCATTTAAGTCTTACCTCAAAGATATAAAGTAAATTCTGCCATTATTACGAAAGAACCAAGTAATTTCAATGATGCCATTTCAATTAAGGTGGAGAAGACTCAATGGATATCAGCCATGAGGGAAGAACTGGCATTGAGTTATGAAAATGGTACATGGATTCTCGTCGATCTACAACCTATCGGATGTAAATGGGTCTTGAAGACCAAAATGATAGTTTATGTATTTTCATCAAAATAAATAAAAAACACATTGTTTTTAAATGAAATAATACAAAACTGGTGTAAAGGACATATGTCCTGCATATAGGGGTCGTCACACGTTTCAGATAACACAAAAAATGTTTTTTTATTCAATTCTAAAACATAACATCATTTCCTGTTTTGTTAAGGAATCACACCATATTTGTGATTATTATCAATGGGTCATGCTACCCTGACGAAAACAAGAAATGTGTATATTTGCCTGTTTGTTGTTTACAAATCACAATGCAAATTTACCTACCAATGAAGCTAGCTGTCAACAAACAACAAAATCAGATCTACCTGATATTTGTTTTGCTTATTAGAAAAGTGTCAACATCAATGAAAAACATTGTAAAAATAAATAAAATATTGACATTTTATGAAAGGATGTGGACGTGCTTTGGAAATATGATAGGGGGATATTTATTCTATAATGTGAATGCTTTAAATAAAATTAGCATTTTTTAGAATCATTTTACATATTTCATATTATGTTGGATTATTCATAATCATATTTTAGAGTATGTAGGTGTCGTGCCTGTAAATAAATTAAAAAACCTCATCAGTAATACTGATATGATATTGATGCAATTGAAAGTTCAAACCCTTAGAATAATTTATATATATAGTGGAAGAGTTTTTCCTGATTAGTTTGTTGTTGGTTTATTTGTTTTATTAGGCTGTGTCTATAAATAACATATTGCAAGCCGTCTCTGTTTAGTAATACGATCTCTTGATGGAAGTCTGACAGTCTAAACCCTAAAAATAATAATCATGATGTGTTTTCTAACACCCCTTCCATTTTTCAATTATGAGATAAATGAAATTCAAACAAATATCAAACGATATTTGCAATTATTTTCTGTTGTTTTTAACATTTTACTCAAGAAAACGCTTCGAAGCATAACAAACAAAACGGTTTTAAATTACATAATTTATTATTTTTAGCGACAACTAAAAAACAACAAATACTCCAACATCAGCAAATAAGAAAAAAATAATAATACTGTGTTTATATGTGAAAAAAGCTTAGCAATATAATCGAAATGAAATTGATTAATGTCAAGCTTGACTAGTTTTCCTCCATCCACGTTGGGAGCGTGAACCACAACAACAACGTAAAATAGGGTGTGTATTTACTGTTGTGGTTATATAGGCTAAAGTCAAAAGAGCATAGCATCTATGTTTACATTTCTAGATAATTGTTTCGATTTTGTTGGAATGTATGTTAATAGGTGAAAATGTCATGTCGCCGAGATCCAAAATGGTAGATAATATTGGAAATTGTAGGGAAGATCATAAATATTTGTCGGAAGAAAAAAAGACGTATGCTTTTATGTGGTTAGTTTAAAAAGTACTCAATATAACCTAAAAAAAAAAAAATAATTTCTTTCGATTTTCTATGTAACTTTAAAAAGTTTTCAACATAACCTAAAAAAATAAAACAATTTGCTGATAAAACGGCTAATATTGGAAGATTTTTTATTTCCATGTTTGAGGTTAAGTTTACGATTTTCAATGT